TATTTACAATTATTTCTTATCATATCAACTTTTACGAGAAATAATCGCTTATTTGCGAAATCGCTAATTTGTACTAATTTTTCATAAGTAATTATCGACCACTGAACAGCATTTCTGATATTTCCTTTATAAAATATAGCTAGCCAAACCTTAACCAAACCAAACCTTCCAATGTAACATTCTACGCAAATTATTTTTGCATCCCAAATTAATTACTTAATCAACTTTATTAGTGAAGTACAGTAAGCAGTTTATTGGCGATTTTAAATTAAATTTTATAATTTGCTGATCCTTTTAGTTTTCTTCGTGTGATTAGTGAAGCGAAACGGTAATCCATTATCAACAAAAGCTTAATATTTAAATTTCAATTGTTTCATAGATCTTTTAACAATGAAAACAAGTACTTAGGAATGATCTTGTGGTTTCGCTAGGCTTATCATTTTCTTATCACTTAAAGCTTCTATGTTCAGCATAATTAAATTCATATTTTGGTTCAAAATTTGCAAACTGCTGGGCTAATAAATCATTTCATTTTTGCTTTGGTTAAAAATCATTTCCTCTTTAAGCTTTTTGATCGTTACGTGATTTCTTACCTTACGATACAAACACTTATTTTTTTCTAAATTTTTAATTATAAATTTTCCTCTTGGTGAAGAAATAAGCTCACTATATAACGATTCGAAGCTAATCAAGAATGAATGATATCAAATATAATTATAATAAATATTATTATTAAATTAAGTGGGAAGGAAAACCACTGACAAATAATTTTACCACTTCTCATTCTTTAACCATCTTCATGGATAAGTCCGATTTGTGGTAAAAATAATAGATTTGTTGCAGATCCTTTTAGTGAGTAGGCTCACTTTAAAATGCTTGATTTTGGTTTTCAGATTATAAAAAAACAGCTTGAAATTTTTTGTCCATTGACTCCCGACAACTTTAAAGCCGGTTGTTTGTCATTGGCCTCAGCAAAATGTGTCACTTTGTAGTCTTATGTATCATTTAAGTTGGTCATCATCTAAATAAACTTAGGAAAGCTTATCAGATACTTTATAAGAAATTTGTCTTAGGGTGACTTAGTCGCTTAGCATAATCTGTTATATCAAATTTATAATTGAAGCACAAATATCAATTTGGTGAACTTTTATTGTTGCATAATTTCAGTCGCTAAGATATAAGTAATCTTTTAGAAACTGCTTATAATGTTATTGCTGATAGCCCATTAAAACTGCAAACTAAATTGAAACTGAGATTAAAAAAAAAACATTGTAACTAGAAAATAGGTGGTCAACTATCCAACGAAGGGATTTTTATCATCGCTTACGTTCGCTTAGCTAAAGTACTATTGAAGAAAGTCGCGAAAGAGCTCAACTAAAGCATTTTGAATATTTCTCGACATCTGTTTATTGTCTAGAAGAAAAGAAGCACGATAATTTGATCGTATACCCATTAAAGAGGAAAAAAATTTTCATCTGGAAATTTTCATCTGCGCTTTCCTTGGAGCCAACAATAAACACACATCGATTTCTTCAACGATTCTTGTTCAACAAACAATGGATGAATTTGCGTGGTGATCGCAAACAATTCAAACAGTGGGCTTGATTGCTGAAACATCGAAATGCATACAAAATGCGAATGTTAATGCGAATAACTAGAACAAGGCCGTTTATATTCAGAAGTCTTTCGCTCATCGTAGGTGAATTCATGCATAATACCGTAAAGATGCCATTATTATTGAATGTGTTCAAAAAAAAGAGATGCAACAGAATTTCAAAATGAATCGCTGTGATGTTAAAGCGACTTTACAGAAATATTTTTAAAGCTTTGCAGACTATTAGCGATTAATCGACGAAAATTGTCTAAACTTCTATTGCTAAAAGTATCTTTATAGCGATGACTGGAGTAAAGCCAGAAATTCTGTAAAAAAGCGAATACCATTTGTATCAATATATCAATAAAATATCATTCATCAATATCATTAAGAAGTTTCATATTAATAAAGCTTGGCCAATCTTCCTATATAAGATAAAAGAGATTTGCTTGATATTAATCTTTTGATTGCTTTTTACCAAGTGATAAGATCCTGAGGTGAATCATGATAAGAAACATTGGAATAATTTGATTTATTAATATATAGTTTTCCTGAGAAGTCTTGGTTAAAGTCTTCTTGCCATTATTCTCAATTAATTCTTTCTTTATGACTTTTGTATATTTTACGAACAACTCGAATGGGTAAATACTTGTCGAAATACTTAAATAACTTTCCCTAAGAATACGACGAAAAAGTTATGTACCACTTGTTTGCTGCCTTTTTTTATCGCTAAATTTTTAATTTCTTATTTGTAGTAAAAAAAAGTCTACAAAATTCATTTATTATTTTTGACTATTGGTTAAACGCAATTCATAAGAAATGAAGCTGTCGCTATTTTAAGTAAAATTTTCGTTTAACATGACGAAAATTATTGGTTTTCTTTTTTTCCTTTTTCAACGAATCATAAATTCCATAATAAATATGAAATATGAAAAATATGAAAAAAATTATGTTTAATTGAAAATCGGAAAAATTCGGAGATTTAAAGGAAATAAATTCCTAATAAAATCAAAATAAAGTGTTTGTGAAGAAAATCATATAAAAGAAAAGATTTTTAATAGAAAAGAAGAGAATTTTTCCGAAAAAAAAGAACAAACATTTGGTACTAAAAAAAATTATATGTGAAATATTTCACATAAGTACGGGTGGTCTCTTTTCTATATTTTAATATTCATATTTTTTATTTTTTTTTATTATCCATATATTTTTATTTTTTGCAGAATTTTTCATATATCTGTTTTGCTAAATTTTATTTAAAAAAAATTTTTTGCAAAAAATAGAAATTTTATTGCAAAAATTGAAAAGTCGATATCTCTTAAGAAATAAATAATTTGACAAAAAATTTGCTCATATTCATTTTCATTAAGTTTGCTATTTTGTCAAATAAAGGCCTAAAACTAATAGCTTAATGGACACTCTTATAAATTCATTTGTGAAACTAAATTTAAGGTTGTTTAAGGTTCTCCAAGTGCCTTTAACTTGTTACGAATTGTCACGAATTAGAGATATTTAAAAGTGAATTTTTCAAATTTTTCATAACTCTAGTAAAAAATTATATAGTAAGAGAATTTTTCGTTATCAAGCGAAGAAAAAAAATCTTCGGGAATTCATTAAATAAAAATGATTCCTTTTTTTCTTTTAAATTATTGTTGGAAAATTCCAAACTCTAAAAAAAATTCGGAAATTGCTAGAAATCATTAATGGGTTCTTACTGTAACATGCAATAGTCAATATTGCGTTGTCATAATAATAGTCGTCATTATTGATAAAAGATGAAATCTACGGAAAAAGTATGGATTGTAAAAATAAAATTTGAATTTTGCAAAAAAATACAAAACTAGTAAATTCAAATTATTATTTGATAGAATAGATTAAATTCTATGAGAATTACTTTTCACTTATTTAAAATTTGTTAAAGAAATTTTTCTTATGGAAGAAAAAAGTTTTTCCCTCATTTTTTCACTTTTTATTTTATCCGAAATCCTCATTTTTTATTTCATTAAATTCTAAGACGATTCAATTAAAAAGAAAAAATTTAAATTATTCTCATGACAAATCTAAGAATTTTTAATAAAATTTTTGGATATTTGCGAAAAATTTTTGAGTAAAAATTAAAGAATTTTATAATAAATAAATTTGATTTGGTATGCTTTTATGTATTTTACTCGTGTTTTACTAGGTTTTTTGTTTATCTTCGATTTTTTTCTTCAAATTATTTCGTTAGAATTTTCATTACTGGCAGCATGAATCTCAAAATTTCACGCCAATATCCTATATAATTACGACCTCTTTCTCCATACCAATTTTCTTTTAAGCATCAGCATCAGACGAGCTTTCATAGATGCCATAAATAATAATATTTGCCAACATATGAATATTTCATAAAAAATGACCGAAACGACCTTTAATGGTACTTAGCAATGGCATCACGTAATAAAGATAAGAATCTACGTAATCATGACACTGTTATATCTTTCTTGCAAGCAATTTGAATGGCTTTATCAGTTTTTTTTACGATTGATCCTCATTCCTATACGAATAAAATATTTTAGATGAAAGAAAAGACAAATGCCCTTTTCAAGAACTGATAATTTGTAAATCTTGGCAAGAATTTGTAAAAAAAATTACAAATTACAAAAGAAAAAGCAAAATGTTTAAAGATTAACGTAACGGATTAACGTATTTTTGAAGAAAATGGGATTAGCCTTTGAAAAATCGGAAAAATTCATTTGACAACAAATTATTCGTGTGAAATAAAGTTGAAAAATTACTTTATCATAAAGTCGCGATTGGAAATATCCGTTAGTAAAGATAAATAAATGATAAATAAATTTTAAAAAAACGAATGAAAAAACCGAATTATGAAAACGAATTTTTTAAAAAAAAATTCAGCAGGTAAGATGGTCGGTCAATTCGATCCATTCCAATATTATATAATGCTTTAATCGGCCGTTCGAATCGTAAAATAATCATTAAAACTGCTTGGGGCTGTCCTTCTATTTATATTTATTATTTAATTAGTATTATCCCCCTCCCCTTTCTTTTTTATAATCGAAATACCTATTACCCATATCCTTTATTCATTTTTTCTCGCTCATTTAAGCATTATTCCAGTTCATTGAAGTTTTCTTTTGCCAAATTTTATTACGTTCTGTAATAATATTTTATAAATTTTTGGAATATCCTATAATTCATCGCAAAAAATGAATGTTAGTAAATAAAATAGGAGACTTAAAGGATATTTTAAAGCAGCGCAATGAGGAATAGCATTTTCTTTTATATAATATATCTTTATAATATAAAATCAACAAATCTATGGTGATTTAAGATTTATTGATGAAGGCTGCATTCATTGTTTCTCCTTATTAAAACGCCTAGGGATTTTTGGACCAAAATTCTAAATTTAATGACTAAATTTCATAAAGCAATACAATATGATCATCGAATTGTAATAAACGACCTTGTATTTCGTTGCTTTTTTGTGAAATAATTATTTTATTCAATAAAAACCATGAAACTTTTTTATGTCCCTACTGAATTAACGAGTTTTGCCTCATTGTTTAATGTAATATAGAGAGAACTTTTATTTCATATTTTTAAAAGTAAAATTAAAGAAATTATATAAAAAAAATTGTTGCTTTCAGCATTTAAAAGCGATCAATTCCTAAAGAAATGCTTGATTTTCCATTCTATTTGTCGTATTAATATCGTATTGATTTGTCCGATATATAGAAAGTCCGAAATTTGTAGAAATAAACCATTTTGTGAAGCAAAAAATCGCCTTAAAATTTAAAGTGAGAGTGAAATATTAAAAAAATAAACAATTTTTTTGCAGAATTATGGAAATTTGCAATTCTTGCAATTTTTACAGTTTTTGATAACTTTTTTTAATTTTTGCAGTCGAACAGAACCAAAAATAAGCATTTGATGAATTATTTCAATGATTTAAAATTAATTAAAAATAAAAAAATGAATATTCGTACAAAAAAATTGATTACATATATATACTGAAAATTTCAGCCAATCAGAGCTTAAAACACCGCCCATAAAAAGGAAAAGAATTAATGGTGTACGGTAACGAAAGGAGTCAATGTGTAAGAAATAAAATAGAATTGGTTACGTTTTAGTGATGAATACAACAGCAGCATCGTCTTCTTCCACTATTAATTCGATGAATTTTGATTTTGCCTCAGGCTCTAGATCATCATTTCATGATTCGCTGCAATCTGATGATCATCTGCAAAGATTGGCTCAAATGGCTCAAGGTGTAGGTCATAATAAATCTGAAAATAGTGATGATATTAATTCTGCGCATGTTGATCAATCATTATATCAATCTGCTGCAGCAGCCTATGTACATCAATACGGAAATTGGCCAAATGCGTATTATCAGCAATTTGGCCAGCCAATGAATCCCGCAGCGGCAGCAGCTGCATTTACTGCTTGGCCACCACAGTGCTACGCTCCGCCGCATTGGCCAAATTATGGTTCGTTTAATTTTTATTATCCATTAATTTTTATTTTATATCTTTAAGTGATAATAAAATTTAATAAATTATCTCCTCTTCAATTTTATTACATTATAAATTTTTTTTCAATACTAATTACTTTGTCAGTTTTTCATTTCTTTCAAGGTATTTCAAAATTCATATAATGTGCCCATTTGCTCTTTTTTGGCTAGTGGAATACAAAAATTCGAAAAAAATGCACTGATCACTTAAGAAATCGCTTAAGGCACTTGAATTTCTTTTTGAGCTTGTTGTCTTTTATGGGAATATTTTGAGTTCTGGAAATTTTCAAGTGATTAGAAATAAGTTCGCACGGCTTTTTCATATTTATAATACTACTAATAATATATACAAATTTTTTATTAATTGGAATCAAACTTCTTCCAAATGGCTTAATGAAATGAAATTTGTTCTCAAATATTCTTTTGAATTTCTATCATATTCATATAATTTCCCGCAAAAAATTGGGGCTTATTTCTGATCTTCTGGTCTGGTCTTAAATCTCGTTTTCTTGGAATTTAATTTTAGATAGAATCGGCTGCCAAACTTTTTTTAGCAATTATTGCCCTAATTAGACTCCATTTCGAAGAATACAATTTTTTTCATCATATTGCAAAACTTAGTTTATCGGATCATACAATTCGAATGTTCTTATGAACGAGCAACTATAGAAATAATTTTAGTTTGATTATTTGGTAGCAATTCACAGCTTTTTTTGCTTCAATAATTATATTTAATCGCGAATTGCCATGTTTCGCAGCTATTAACATAATTTTTTATAATTTTTTGTTTTCTAATTCTTTGAGAATTTATCTATTTACTCGAATTTTGAAACTTGGAGAAGCTGGTATGACGTTGGAAAAATTCGGCTTTATAAAATCAAAATGGTTCTCAATCGAAAATTGCAGAATTTTTACAATCTTTCTGTGAATCCTTCTAGTATTTTCATCGGCCAGTAAAATCGTCAACTGCCGTTAATTGGGTCATTTATTTTATTGGTAGCCATGATAGAGTATCGCATTAGGTCATTTTTAGTGAATTTTCTATATTAATCAAGTTGATCTCTATTCGAATTTGTATGACCGACACTTATCTTAAATGAAAATTCTTTTGTATTAATTTTTTAGCTAAAAAGTTGTTAATTGGTAAAAAATATATTATATCCAATACAATGCATCTTATTTTTTGCTATCTTAGGCTGTTGACCAGATGGCTTAAAGTTTATCAGTGAAACCAATAGAATATTTATCAAAAATTGCTCAGCGATCTTTAGAATTACTTATAAATTTCGATATAATGAATTTGCTGTTGTTAGATTATTTTTCTATAATATTTTTAACACATAATGGAAAGTGTGAAATTGGTCTCTATTCGAATTTAGATTGATAGATTAAGCCTTATTTATAACATAAATTTATGTTTTTTTTATAGTTATATGATTTCTAAGAGCGTTCATCATTGCTAGTTAGACTCGTTCCTAAGCCTAAGCCAAGGAATCACTTGGCGACAGAAGTACCCGCCTCACTCGAGTTACCTAAGTTATGTTTATATATAATAGTAGTGCTTTGTGCTTTGCTTTACGCTTATTTATACAATGCTTTACAAATAGCATGCATTGAATAGTTTTCGATTCTAGGAGAATTTCTTGTTCCAATTAATTTTCACGATCCTTCTTTGCATTCTAATTCTTTATGCTTCTGAATAATTCTAATGTTTTTTGCAAATTTTGTTTAAAATCTATTGCTATTTTATCGTTAATATAACTTTTAAGTAAAAAATTAATCTCAAAATTTCATTAAAATTTAAAATTTTTTAGAATTTCTAAAATTTAGCTTTTTTATTTTTTGTGATATTTGAAATTTAAAAAAGAACCAAAATTATAGCTTGTCGCTATTCTAAATTACAATTTAATTTTCCAAAAATCTAAAATTGTTTATATTTTATAGTATAAATATTCAAAAATATAAAAATTCTGGGACTTCGCTTTAAACAAATTTTATATTCAAAATATCCTTTAAAATGATTTATAACTAGAATATAAAATTATTCTTAGCACTTATTGGAAAATCTATCTAGAAATTAGTCGAGTTTTTGAATCGAATGGCTAATAAAAAACTAAAAACTTATTCGAATTTGCTAATCCACAAGAGATTAGAAATAAGACAAGCAAGAGTGGTTTGCTTGATATTGATATCATTTAGCTATTAGGTGAATTAGTAAATAATTTCAGCTCAATCAAAAAAAGGTCGACAAACATATCAACGCTATCAAACATCAGTACTTGAAAGCAAATTCCAACAAAGCAGTTATGTTAGCAAGAAACAACGCGAAGAATTACGACTTCAAACAAATTTAAGCGATCGACAAATTAAAATATGGTTTCAAAATAGGCGAATGAAAGCAAAAAAAGAGAAAAATCGAACAGAAGAGCAAAATTGTGAACATTCTGCTTTATTGCCCGCTAATCCACCTAAAAATTTAATTGATAATGATAATAATGATAATAAAAAATCAGCTACATGGTGTATACCTCCATCACAAAACTGGATTAATACGGCTCATCCACCACCACCACCACCGCCACCTCATCATTCATCATATATTCAATATCCTATTTGTCCATCAAATATTTAATTATATATTATATATATACATATATATACATATTGTTAATATAATTTATATATTCCTGTGCTCCTTTTTTTATATATTTCAGATAGAAAAAGAGGCAGACAAACGTATAGTCGAGAACAAACTCTCGAACTCGAAAAAGAATTTCATTATAATAAATATTTAACAAGAAGACGTCGGATTGAATTAAATAGAACAATTGGACTTAGTGAACGACAAATTAAAATTTGGTTTCAAAATCGAAGAATGAAAAAGAAAAAAGAAGAAAAAAATCGTGGAAATGTTAATGAAGAGCACAGGAATATTTTATAATTTATAGCAAAAAAAAGAAAATTTATAAAATTTGTTGATTTAATTTTCACTGATTTTATTGAATATTATGTTAAGTTTTTGTGTGATTATTTCCTTTTATAAGCTCAATAAATACTTTTCAAATTTAATTTCTTACATTTCACAAAATTTTGCTTTACTTTAATTATATTTTTACTCATTATTTTTCGTGAAAAATTAATAATAAATTCAATTTATTGATAAAATTGATAATAAAAAAAAGGAGATAAAAAAAAGATTTCTCATAAATGAATTCATTCCAATTTGTTTCTTACTGGACTAAATCTATTCAATTTTTTGATGAACGAATCGCATCATTTTTTTTAAAACCATTCTCAAGAGAAAATTAACTGCCTAAATATATCAGAGAAGACTGAAACTTCACTCGGTCATTAGTGTGGAACCACTCTTAAAGGCGAAATTTTAACGCGAATTTCATTGAAACACGGAAATTTCTTTTATTAAAAATTTTCCATTCATTTAATTTCAAATTTTTATAAATTTTCTTTATTCATTCTTCATGAATAATTTAATTCATTTCTCATATTGGCTTTAATTTTTTTATTTTTTTTCTTCAGAACATTTTATTTATTATTAATATTTTTATTTTTATTATTTTTTATGAATAAAATAATAAATATAAATTATGAAAGAAATCGTTTTAAATTTAAGGAAATTTAAGGAAAAAATCGTTTAAGGAGTGAAATTCTATTATGGAAGGTTTTACTGGAGAAAAATTGATTAATTTGCTTGAATACAGTATTCTTTCCAGGCATAGGAAAAAATAAATTATTTATTGGTTAAAATATTATTAAACACATCGTAAAATATTTATTAAAATTGAATATTTCAGTTTGTTAAAGGAAATATTCTTTTAATAATATATTTTATATAAATATTCAAATATCATATTAAAATAAATATTATACTTTATTGTATTAAATATTAAAATACATTGCAGGAACGGTAAAAAATTAATAAAATTAACAAAATTAATAAAGAAAAAAGTATGCGAAAAATTAAAAATTCATGAAAAATCAAGTAAAACTTTAATAATTATTCAAACTCATAAGTCGTTCTAGCATTTTAATCCATGTAAATTAGAAATTTAACTAAATTGAATAAATCAATCAGAAATAAATCCAATTTAACTAAAAATCGATATAAATCACTAAAAAAATGCAAATAAAATCGGTGGTAAATTTTAATTACTACAAATGTTACATATGTTGTCGATGAATAATTTTACAAAATTTCTGCACTTTTTAAATTTTCTAAAAAAATTTCTGTTCTTTTTATCATTTTGATCAAATTTAAAAATAAGCATATTTCTCAATTTTTATCACTTTCATTATTATTATTATCATTATTATCGCCATTATTGTACATTTATGACTGTAATTATTGATCATTTTTTTTATTATAATATAGTCACAATTATTCATTATAATTTTTATAATTTATTGTTATCAATTGTTTATTATTTATTAATTCCAATTTTATTGTTTATCGTTCTTGTTATAACTGAACGAAACAAATTTAGAAACAATTAAACAAAATTAATTGCTTCCAATTAATTTTATAAAATAATATTGGTGAAATTGGAAAGAAATATGTAAAATAAAAATAGAAACAGAACGTTGAAATTGAAATTAGTTTAAGATGATCGGAATTACTTTTGTTATAAAATATAAATAAATGCTTAATTAATACTTTTTCCCACTTCCTTCTGAGTACCAATGTTCGGATACTTGGTTAACATTTGCTAGTAATTGGTCTGAATTGAGAAGCCAAATCTTTATTGGTCTTCTGTTCTCCATGATTTTTTGCGGAATTTTCCATCTGGTCTTGAAAAGGTTTGACTCATATACTGTCCAGATATTCCTGCGGATCATTCCCCTGGTTATGTAATTGTTCCTGCTGTCTATATCCTGTGCAGATATTTCATTATCTAACTACTGGTAAGAATTCACAACGTCAGCCGGCTCAACTATCTGTGTATATCGATGGTATATCCCACGGAAAATCTTGTTTTGCCATTTCTTCTTAGTCTTTCTCCAATGCCTATTGATGCTTCAGGTATTCTCTCATCTTTCATTGTCAACTTGTTGATGAATACCATAAGTTTTTTTCAGAATAGTGGCTTTTGTATTTATCAAATCCTGGTTGCCTCTTTTCTTATCGGTGTGCTATCTTTGGCTATTAGATTTGGGGTGGATTTTCATTTTGATTGCAGGTTTTCGTTTGGTCTTATTTCACCAGCAGCATATCTGACAGGGAATATTTTTCTGACGTGGATTTTGTTTTTCTTATTGAGCTGACCATCTCTTCAAGATGTCTTATTCTTTAGAAGCACTTAGAGATGTTGCAATTTCTCTTGCCTCTTTGCCATTGTTTCCATGCGACTGCAAGGTATTAAGATGCTTGAAAGTTTGAAAATTTATTTTCCTAGTGTTTACTACTATTTGACCACAGCTCACCAGCCCGAATCCCAATGTCCTTGTAAAATCTTGTAGAATCTTGTTAGTCCTCCCCTTCCCCTCTAGATGGAAGAGCGACTCAGAGACTTAGCATATAACTCGATGTCATCAGAGAAGATGGATGATGATAATAATATGTGATAAATTATGCCATTATCACAATTTGATTTTTATCATTTTGATGAAGTATTGAACTATTTTTAGATGAAAATTATTTATTAAAAATGAAAAAATTCAATAGTTAAAATCCATTTATTCATCCAGTAAAGAGTTAGAGTTAATTAGAATATAAAATGAAATGGGGTGCATATATTGATTATTTTATGAGAAATGACAACTTATTTATTCTGATACGGTAGTTGCATGAAATTTTTCAAATTTTCATCGATTTTTTCTCGTAATAAATTCTTCAACTAAGAAATTTAATAAATATTATAGAAATTTGAGTAAAGTTTTTTTTCAATACAAAAATACTCGAAGAGAAAGTCGATGAAATGTAGAAAATTTAGTGAAAATTTGAAAAGACATTTCATTTTTCATTTCTATCAATTGAGCAATTCTTTAAAAAATTCAACTAAAACCTTTCAGCAATCGGCATTTCTAATTGCCCTTAGATATTATGGGGTTTTTTAGAATTATCGTTAACCTCACAAACATGTCTTTTGTCAAAAAAATATCAAAAAAATAAAATATGCAACAACCGTTGGAATTAATCAATCATGTGAGAATAATAAAGTTAAGATGATGATAAAGCATATGATAAGAAATTAATGATAACATCTTTATTATGCCAAAAAAAATTTCTGCAATGTGAATGAAGTGATAAACGCAAAGTTTGCGCATCTTTTTCGCTCTTCTATTCCACAAAATTTGCATATAAACCATCATTGTTACCTAAAATATAATTTTAATTAAACGATCTTCGATTTGAAAGAAAGACTTAAAGAATTTGAAGAATTTATTCAAGGTAATGGAAAGTAAAGTGGAGGAAAAAAGAGAAAAAAAGGAAATAATTCAAAAAAGTGCAAGAGAAAATCCTGCAAAAAAAGAAGATGCAATATAATTTAATATTAGTAAAATTATATTATAAAGCAATAAAGAATGTATAATGTATTGAACGTATAAAGGGGATAAAAGAAGACGGAATACGAGAAGGATATGCCATAAATGATAAAAAAGAGAGAATAAAGGAATAAAGAATATTGGAAGGATAAAGGATGTGAAGGAGGAAGAATCGTGGAAAGGATATGCCATAAAAGATAAAAAAGATGGAGCAAAGGAAGAGGGAAACGAAGAAGGAAGGAGGGAGTATATATATGTATATTATACATGAAAGAATATTTATGAATAATTAGATGGTAAAAGCGATAAATCGTTCTCTAAATGTGAAATGTAATGTGCTTTTGCGACATAAATAAAGTAGCAGAACAACGCGACACTGTTCCAATTTCCATTTTTGGGGACTTTATTATTTCCTTTACCATTTTTAATTTACTAAAATCCAGTTTATTTTCTGTTATAGAGTCGTCTTTTTCGACAGTACCGCACAGTGTCGCATCATTAAAGAAAGGCTTAAAAAGACAATGCGACATTGGGATCATCGCTTAGAAAACACGTTTCCTCAGCGCTTTGCCTGGAGATATCTCTATAAAGAAAACGATGAACTCATTTTGCGCTATTCATGTATTAATTAATAATTTTTTGCATAGGTGGAAAAGTTTTCCGACTACGGTAGTAACGCCAAGAAGTGACAAATTTTGATTAAGAAATGATTACGGTTAATTGAAAAGTTTATGAAAACATACTGTAATTTTGAATAATTTCTAATAAAATTAATTTTAATTTCGTTCGAATTTAATTAAAATACGATCACGAATGAAAAAAAAAACTTTCCGTCAAGATACGGTATTGTCATGAATTCAATTTAATTGAAAATTTTTATTTTTGGCTAGGAAAAAAGACAAAAAAAAAATGCAATCGCAATATTTGAGAAATCTCACTTTCGAACAATTTGTAAATTTATTTCTTTCTTTTTTCTTCGAAAAAATTATTTAATAGTGGTAATTTGCTTACAATGGAAAAAGTTGTTTCAAATTTTAATTATATTTTTTTATCACTTCATTTCTAATCTTATCATTTCAGCAACAATTTGACTTCCATCTCCAGGAGTAAACTCTACTTGCAAAAGAGTAAGCTTATCAATAAATATTCGTGGTAGTGCTGAAAAATGATCTACATTCCCAAGCGATTCTTTATCACAGAACTCTTAAATCCAACTCCACAATTAGGTAAATTTTCTGGCAAATCCAAAATTTTTAAAATTGCAATTTTCAAAAAAATCCTTGTACATTTGTGAATTCTAAATTGAGTCAAAAAAAATAATTGCTTTGCGTCAAAAAATTAAATTAAAACTCGATTATTTTTCGAATAAAATATTGAACTAAATGAACTAATTTGTTTTCAATAATTGTCACTTATATTTAAGATTTTTATTCGGAAAAAAAATTTCAACTGAAATATTTTCAAAATCGTTTATTCAGAGATTTATTTAAATCTTCCTTAATCTAAAAAAGTATCTTCGAAATCTTTTTGTTTAGAAATTCGTTTAAACCTTCTTTAGTCCATAAAAGCGATGAACGATTCAGTATAAGTAATCAGCAAATTTAATGGATAATGAATATTAGTAATGATACTCTATTGTCGCATAAATAATTGATGCAATTGTGGCGAATAGTGATATATGAATTCAGTAGCACTAAACTAAACTGCAAAGGCGATATGACTATTATTAAATGACTTTATATTTTATGTCGACAAAATAGCGAAAACAGCGAAAAAATGCGATAAAAAATATAAAAATTCGGATTACCACAAAACTTGTTCGGTGGACAAACAGTGGAAGTATTTTTCAAATAAGAGAATTCTCTGAAATATTTCTTCGATATTGAAATAATGCAAATTATTTTCTTCAAAAATTCTTTAAATTTTTAAGATTTCTGTGGTTTTTATAATTTTATAATTTTCCGGCAAACTGCTGGAAAATACGACATATTTGACCTTTCATTTAGAAAGGCGATAAACCTTTTTCATAAATCTTATTCGTTCGCCTCTATAATTCGTTTGTCCATTCGCCAAATGAAAGCACGTTGGGACTCTCAATAACCACCTGAATTTGCCTTTAAAGCTCACTAACTCATTCTCTTTTCCTTTAAACAAATTCACCAGAGAAATGTATAATACTAAATTTTCTTCGATAGAACACTGATAAATTTTGATGAATTTTATCAGAAAAATTCGATTCAAGTAATATTTCTGATAATAAATTAAATGATAATAATGATAAATGATAATAAATTATCATTTCTGCTATCAGAAATCTTTAATTATTTTCTCCTTTTTTTTGTATGAACCTTTCAATAAGATAAATTTCCTGTTGTATTGCAATCGGAATATTAATAAATTTTGAAAATTTTATGATCGATTAACTCAAATTATAATAAAATTACGGTGTTTATAATTTATTTTGCTCATCGAATCGTTTAAGAAAACGATTTATTTATTTTATTTGAACAAATATATTGGAATAACTCAACCAGAAAGTTTTTTGCATTATATGAGAAGCAATTCAAATTTAATGGTCTTATAACGATTGTTTTGATACTGTATCTATCCTACGGCATATCCTACATAATCGCTAGGTGGAGACCATCTACCATCCACCTTTTCCGGAACACCATCTGCATTAATAACAATAATATTACAAAGCTCCACCAAACTGATAAGAAAGACTGACGCATATCTCGGTTTGCAATGAATGGGCTTCAAAGAAGACTTATATTTATACGGTCGGAAGACATTTCGAACGCATCAGAAGCCCAGCGTTATAGACTTAGACTATGGAAAAAGCATTGGCTTCAGCTATTTTCGCAGGAATCGCACCGGAAAGCTTGGATTTTTGGTGTCTTATCTAAATTTAATTTCAATCTAAAAGTATATTAGAATAATAGACAAAAAAATTGATAAGAAAATCAGTGTTTATAAAACTTTCTAGTTGAAACAAAGAGTTAGTTTAGAGATAACGGTGGTTTTAAAAGTTGCTAATAATAGAATTTAACTTCGGGGAAGCTAATAATGGAATATTGCCGGGCTTTAGCGGCAGTGCAATTTAAGAGAGAGTGAGCTGGACATAAGGAAAGTAGTGCATGCCGAGCGGTCTAAGGCGCTGGTTTAAGGCACCAGTCTCTTCGGAGGCGTGGGTTCGAATCCCACTCTCGTCAGTCTCTTTTCTCGCGATAAGTTTGAACAGTGCTTTCGGCTGACTTAGGGCGATGCAAGGGAGATGCAAAGGCGACCAAACTCCTCCATCATCTGGAAATTCGTCATTGCAAGTGAAGATGGTGGAGGAGATGGAGAGGGAGTTCGAAAAGGATATTGCTGCAGAATAGCGGAAAGGAAGAGAACTGAAGGAAGGGACGGATTGCAGGAATGTGTAAGAAGTTCTGACCTTTGATAATACTGGTTAAGGTGACTTAGGTTACGGAATAAGAGATTCGGAGATTTTAGAAGATTCCGTGGGATCCGAGAGGTACTGGTACAGCGTTCAAGAGGATTTAGTATTAAATTTGGTGAAATTTGATAAAAATAATTGGAGAATTGCAAAAATATTTAATAAAGTTTGGGAACGTTTTTAAGAAATATGGTAGAATTTTTAAAGATAATTATGGAATGAATGGATGAAAGACTGCGGCCGCGTTTTCGCCAACGCAAACTATTTTTTTCCTTTGGCATTTTCTTTTCAGCGAATTTTTTTATAGCAAATTTTGGAAGTTTTTCTAATTATTTTTTTCAAAATTAAAAATTCGACGTGGAAAATTTTTTCGATTCATATATTTTCTTAATTTGTCTTCGCAACAATTATTAAAATTTATCTTTGAAGTGATAAGTGATAAAGTGATAAATGATAAGAACTGTTGGATAATTATTGGTAAATGTGAAACGATGTTTGCACAACAAACAAATATTATAAGAATTGTATGTTTTTCTTTTTAAGATTTGTTTCTTTAAATTTTTTTTTTAATTTCTTTCTTATTTTATTTCATTTATTTTTATTAATTATTAATTTTCATTGAACTTATACGCTATAATTAATATTAATTGAACTAACTTTGGGGATAGAATGGCTCAGTGGGTTGTTGCTCGATTAGGAGCGCCGATGCTGAGGTTCGATTCCCCACAGGAGTAAATCTGTACAAAAATACGGGTGATGCTGGCGACTCACCTGTATTTCTATCGTCAAGGGATTGCCTGGCATATTGCTCAAATGCGACAAGCCAGTGGAGCGAGTTTCACCAGTAATGGTGAGGACTCTTCAAAAAAAAAATATTGGATATTTTATCAGTTTTTCAACTTTTATTTAACAATGAATTCGATTGATCTTTGAATATTCTAACGGCGTTTGCTAATGTTGCTTAAAGTGATTGCTAAGTAATAAGGAACAGTGCGAAATTTTCACGTTCCTCGAGTCATCTTTTAAAAGCGAGCACATCTTTTTCCACTTTTAAATCCCATATATGGCTAGGCCTATGATGCGTTCAAAAAGACCACATTAATCCAATCGCTGACTGGCGTACTTCGTCGTGGATGCCAGCTGTCACAAAGTTTGACATGTGGTTTTGATATGCTTTGGTTCTTATATGAGGGCTGGTGCAGAACATGTTCATAGATTAGGAAACATAAATTGAGTCCCACATTAATTGTACAACTTTACAATCCGCATTTACTTATATCGCTAAGTGGTTCTTCAACAAAATTTATCTGGTTCGATAAGCCAGCGAAGAAAGCCGAATCAGCAATAGTAAGCGCTCTTAAAGAAATTTTATAATTTAATGTTGAATTATTATTGACCTTAGTTTTATATTATGACATCCTCGCATTGTTTTTAGCTAATCATTTATATCATCTGGCTCATGATCTAATGATAATGAACACATAATCATAATATAATAAATATGGTTATTTCTTTTAGAAGACATACTCATCTAGTAGAATGAACGTAATAATTTAAGATTAATAATTAATTATCGATGATAACTGATAAATGATCGATGATACTGAATTTCATGATTGATGTTCATTTAGTCTCGAAAGGTGTTCTTATCAGATATTCTTTAATAAATTTTACAGGATGTCATCCGTAATTTATCACATATTTTAAACGACATTTGGGCGCGTGTTGGTCCTATTACTATTAGTACACTTCGAAAAGTTTATTTTACAGCATATGGCGTTGATCTTGATGTATGTTTATTTTATAAAATATAAATTTATTTTATAAAATATTTCTTATAATTATTTTGAAGTAATGATTTCCACTGTGTCATTATTTATTATTATTAATTTATTATTATTATCACTAATTTTGATTTTCTGTTAATTCTTATTTATCTTTTTATTATTTTTTATACGATTTAAGATAATTGCAAAATTAATGCTCATTTAAATTGATTTAGAAACAATTAGTTTTTTTTGGATTTAAAATTTACTTTTTTAAAATTAGATTAATCAGTTTTGTCTATATTAAAGACTATAAATTTGTTGAACACGTAAAACATCTCATTTTCAAGGACTAATAGGAGAAATCTTAAAATTTTATATTTTTCATCAGAGTTTCTTAAAACTTTAAATTTTTTAGAAACATTGCGAACTTGGAGGTTTCACATTAATTGAAATTCTAGAAGATAAATTTAATAACGAATTTTATTTTAATCGTGAGCTTTCTGTTCTGGAACCTCGATTTGTGGGGAATGTGTTTATTGCTTCACAGAATATTCAGCCTTTCTCTGACGTGGTATTTTTTCATTTTTTTTTATTGTGTAATTTATTTTCTTCAGATTTTCTTTTTTTATATAAGTACCAGTTTAACTTTCACATTTTTTAATTTAAAATCTTATGACTCCAAATCAGCATCAATGGTCAATATCAAATATCTTTTATTTTTTATTTTATTTGTTTGTTAATTTTTAATATTTAATATTATTTAATATTTTTAATATTTAATATTTAATTTAAATAATTTACAGCCAACTTCAGTGGTTAATTATGGCTCAAATTTCTCACTGCCGCCTCCTGGTCAACCCCTTTTTCAATCTGTTGTGCCTATGCCACCATATCAGTTATTTTCACCAAGTTATCGAGTTATTCCCAAGTTGCCTAATTTTGTACCTCCGTCACTGAATTATTCTACTAAAAATAACGGACAGTTTGTCTCAAATACCACAAGAAAATCTATGAACCGCGTTGATATTTTTAACAGTCTTCGTGATATCATCATAGATATTCTCAATTTGCCTGAACATAAAGTAACATTTCAAACGATAGAAGAAAATTTAAAATTTTGAATTTGCGAATTTAAAGCGAAATACGCGATTATTTATTATTCAAAATGCTTTATGTGCCAATTGCCGTATTGATCAAAGTGCCAAATACTTCTCTTTATACGAAAATAATGATAAAATATTGTTTCTTATAATATTGCTTTAGCGCGGTATAACTGAAAAGGAATTGATGGAAGCGGTACGGCAACGCGATTCTAATATTCCTCTGCAGTTGATAAATTTTCAGACTTTTTTTTCTAATTTCATGTCGGATTTCATTGAAAAATCAGGAAATCTCTATCGTCGTCGACAATCGCAAATTATCATACAGGAGGTGCGCCTTTAATTTATTTTTCTCATAATTTTTTAGAATTTTTCTTAAAATGTCCTTTGTTTTAATATCAAATGATTTCATTCGTTTATTTTATCGACAATTTCCTCAAAAAAAAGATGAATATATAACTAATTAATCCTCAAAACTTTTATTTCGATTATTAATTACTAAATAGGTTCCAAATTCCCAGCAAATATAAAGTATGAAATATAAAATAAGAAAATGCGTGGTCTATTATTAAGTTTAACAGGCTTCACTTTATGATCACTTTTTTATTAAAATTGGTCTTCCCTCAAATTTAGGAGAATATCGGTGACGAAGAAATTCCGGTTAATGTGAAAAATGCGGAATCTATTAAAAATGCGGCTACCGAAGAATGTAGCAAGCATAATGATTGCGCAGTTTCACCGATGGAAAAATGCGAGGTAACTTTGTTACCACATATATTTAATACGTTTAGGTGTAATTGCCTCTTGCGCTCTATGTTGCTGAAAATTTTTTCATCCTTTAGAGAAATTCTAGAGAAATTTTTATGTTTAATATTCGAAGTCTAAATCAAAAAACTATAAATTTCTAGCGAAATAAGTTTTTGAGAGAACATAAATATTTTACACTTCTTTAATTTTTTTGGCAATTTTAAGGAATCGGGCAAATTGGTTCTCCAAAAAAGTGCTAAAGTGAACGGCGAAGATCCTAACGATAACAACATTTCCGTGATGTATTCGATGATTATTTTTAAAATCTTCACCATCGCTTAAATAATTTGCAGATTGAATTATATTTATTCAAACTTTGCAATTTTCATATAACAAAATTGTTTAAAATGAGAAAACCTAATTTCCTAATTTTATTTTCTTATTTTTTAAAAAATGGAAATTTAGAGATACCGTTTATGATTGTACAGAACTCCTGTTGGATTGGCGAAAAAATGCCAACAGTTTGCAATCTCTTTTTGAATTTCTGTTGGTCGTTAATGCGAATTATAAAGAAAACAGTGGACGTTTTTCTGATCGAGAGTTTTATGTATATTTTATTTTCATAGCTTCGGCTAATTCGAATTTTCGAGCTTTTCGTTTTAAAAATCCATAAAAATTTCATCCTTATCAAAAATTTTCATTTCATTTGCTGAAAATTTTATGAATTTTGTTATTGATTGATCACTACTTTTTTTATTTTTAATTTTTATTTATGAACCATTTTAGGATCGGTTTGGTAATGCGCTTTTCGACCGATTCAATATTTTTGATTTAAGTGATTTAGTTAATTCAGATTTATTGAAAGTTGAGCGAAGTAATGGAGAACTTTTTTATTTCGTTAATTCGGAAATCGAGTGAGTTTTTTTTTTTTTTTGGTTGATCTTTTATGCTTAATTTTGCTGTAAAAACTATTAATTAAAACTAAATAAGCTGTAGTGAAATATTTTTAAATATTAAATTTTTAAATATTCTGTTTACACTTTTTTTGCACTATTTTTGTTATTTGTGATTATATAAATTTTTTCTTCAGATATTTAACTTCGGCTGATTTTATTCATTTAAAAAAGCAACTTCTTCATCGCTTTTCTATTGATTCCTCAGTGAATTTCGATACATTGTTGCGCTTATTGGTTTATTATTAATATTTTCTATTAATTAAATGTATTTTATATTTTAGCTTGATTTATCAGGTAAACTAATTTTCACGATTAAAATAACATATATTTGTTTGGTAATTTTAGAAATTTCCTGAGGAGAAATATAAATCTGATCTTGACAAAGCCGCAATGCTTTGGGCAGTTTTGTCACGACTACCCTCAGACTTCGATATTCAAGCTGTTTCACGAACGAGCGGTAATATACTTTTATAGTTTTAAATTTAAATTCAAAATTTTTGAGGTAACCTTTCTTGTATTATTGCATATAACAATAGCAGAGCGAGATAGAAACCATTATCATAGAGATATGAAGACTGCTGGAGAGGTAAGCGATTATTGGAAACTATTCCTTCTTCATAAAGCAACCATAACATTGGGAAATGACAGGTGAAATGATTAGGGATAATAAGATCACAGAGAGTGTCTTATACGGTGGAGGGAATATTTTGAGGCCAAACCTGACCACGGTGCCTTTTCTATCATCCCGGATATAGCTGAAACGCTCGCCGAGCCAAATGTTTGCAACTATCAACCACCAACATAGCGAAATTCAGAAGCTTTCTGAATAGGCGAACGCATTGTCCACCGTGCTTCATAATTCGTTTTCAACAGATGTGCTATTAATTTAAATGTACTTTATATACTATTTAAATATACTATCTGGTATAGAAGAAGGAATATCAGATGAAAGCTATATGTTATTTTAATCGCAGTCCTGCTCTCAATCCTGAAAGTGATAAAACTGTCGCAGTTATCGTAGAATTATCATATTAGACGTCTCTGGAAAAATTTTTGCCTTCCTTTTTCTAAATCGAATTATATCAGTAGTAATAGAATGGCTCAGTGGGTTGTTGCGCAATTGGGAGCGCCAGTGCTGAGGTTCGATTCCCGGTAGGAGTAAACCTATACAAAAATCCAGGTGATGCTGGTGATTCACCTTTTTGTCGCCAAGGGATTCACTGGCATATTGCCCAATGCGACAAATACAGTGGAACGAGTTTAACCAATAATGGTGAAGATTCTTTAAAAAAAAAAAAAAAAAACAATTGAATGCGCCTTAATCGAACTGGATTCAGATCGAGGTGCTGATCAGATTTCACGTTATGAAGGATGATGGAATATTGCTTCCATTATCGACAACTCATCACTTGCTTCACCGATTTTATTGTTGCCTTCGAGTTGATAAAGCGGCGCCATAGAATATACCGATTTAAACAAGTTACTTCGACTTAAAGACAAGTTATATCCAGGTCCAGATTTATGTGCAGATGTGCGTATCTGTATTTGTGAATAATTTGCAGATCTTTCCGAATTAAGAATTAATATCTGTCCTTTGCCCTACGAAATTCTGCTATTCGATAAGTTGGATTATCGTCACTGCTCCAATTTAAGAAATGTGCAAGTTAATCCAGAATATCAGAATATGATGTTATAAATCTTGGATTGGCTGATGATGCAGTCTTTTTGGATTAGATGTGAAGGAAATGCAAGAAATGTTAAAGAGTGCATTGACTATCGCAGCAAAAATTGGATTCAGGATCAATTTAAATAAGATAGAAATTTTGCATACCATATATTTACCATATAAATTTTACATATATATATATATAGGTGCTGATAAAATACATTTACACAATACATTAAATTATACATAATTATACATACTTGAAATTCATTTATCAGTCAATCGATCATTTTTTAATCAATTTATCACTGGTTGAAGAAAAATATCTTGGGTCCACTCTTGTACCACATAACGAATAGCGAAGTTGCACCTTGGAGAATCTCAATTAAAAAATTCGTTCTTTCTGGTTTTGTTCTTTCTAACTTTCTATAGAATCACAGAAAAGAAAGTCCGCACCTATTTGGTTGCAGTCCACATTTTATATTATTATTTTATTATTAATTGCAAAACATGGCTAATGAGAGTATAAGATATTAAGAAAACTTTCAACTTTTCAACTTTTATTTTCAACTATTATATTTTCAACTTTTTTTACGCAAACATTTTTAATTTTTAGATTATGGAACTGATATAGTCGTCTCTTTGAAGCAAAATCCTAGTTTTGATAATTAAATCGGGAAATTTTTTCGAAATTCGAAGTTGATACGGGTCAGATTTAACTTCTTCAAGATGTTTCTAAAAGGAATATTAGAAAAGAAATACGAAAATATCAAAAAAAATGGTGCTTAATTTTCATTCATTCAATTTTCATTGATTTTTATTGAGTTTATATTATTCATCAATGAATATTTTTGTATTTCATTTTTCACTATTCCTTTTAGTCATATCTTGAATTTTAGCAATTTTTTATTATATACATAATTTTTATAAAATGATCTGTTAAGAACGGTGAAGTGACAAGAGCAGTGGCTTTTAGTAACGATAAAATCGCACAGTAATGTTTAAATTTTTCTCTTTCTTTACTTCATTAATGTTGATGTGGCAGACAAATCATTCATTAATTGGAAAATGTTCCTAAAGCTAATACTTCGAAATTTTGAAAATTTTGTTTAGTACCGTTCTTAACTGATCAGCGTCCATTAACATTTGTGTTTGTTTGCCGTTGCTTTTGTTATTTTATCGTTTTTTTGCATAATAAATTTTGTTTTTAACGTTATCATTCCTTTAAAAAATTTTACTTTTAGCGTTATCATCGCTAAAAACCCGAGGAATTATAAGTTTTTTTTTGATTTATAAATATTCCAGTCGATTCTTAATGAATAAAAAGCGAATGAGAGTAATAAATAATTTTCAAATAGTCTAAATGAAAATCGTTATGGATTTAGCCAAAGCATATTTAGATAAAAGTATTTCACTTTTAAATAGTTCTTTTCGTTTTCTTCGACAAGCTTTGTTGTTGTATTAAATGAATGAATTTTGGGATTTTAGGATACGAAGGAGAAATTTTTCGGGCTCTCTTCAAAAATTTTTATTCTTATCAATTTTTTTCTACTTTTTCTGATTTTCTGAAGCAAATTTTTTATTGGTTACGAAAAAAGAAAAAATTATTTTTTCTTCACTATAGCAATATTATATATGACGATTTGAGGAAATTTTTTATAATTAAATTAATTAATTTAAATTTAGATAAAAAAAAGTGAAGAATTATATGCATGCAAAACTATTTTTCGACAAATTTATGAAAGCATTTTCGAAAGTAATGAAAATTCATTCGAACGATGATAAAATGATCGTAATAATCGGATGCACGGGGACAGGTAAAAGTGATTTGGGTGTATCAATTGCTAAGCAATTTAACGGTGAAGTGATTAACGCCGACTCTATGCAAGTTTATAAAGGTTCTTCATCTTATCATTGTTTTTTTTAAAGAGAATTTTATAGTTGGCGATTTATTGTTCATATATATTTCTAGTATGGCTAGGAGTCCTTTCTAGATGGCGGATTAACTAAATTCCATCTTATCTGAAATTATAATGAAGCTATTTCATGGGAATCCGAAAGAAATTTCTGTCAAATTTGGTTGATTTTGGTTGATAAATGCAGATTACGCTAGCAGATATTATTATACATATTTTTACAGGCTTAGATATAGCAACTAATAAAATAACAAAATCTGAAATGGAAGGCATTCCTCATCATTTGATGGATTTTTTGGATCCAACTGAAAAAGATTTCAATGTGCATAAGTAAGTTTGAAATTACATCGAAAAGCGATCTTATTGACAAATTGAAATACAGGAAGCTAATTTTCTTAAATGGCAAAAGAGGTTTTACTGTCAATGACGGGTTTTGCTTTTACTTTAATTTCACTTCACTTTAATTCAGGAAATTTTAATATTATGATATACCCTTTTGATAAGGAAAAAGGGCAATTATTAACTGAATTTGTGCTACAATCGCCAAAAATCGATTTGAACCGATTTGTGAAATTTGCTAATTTATCGTTTTAGTTTTCGCGATTTGGCCATCGGAGCGATAAATGATGTGCATAAAAGGGGAAAATTGCCTATTGTTGTTGGTGGAACATCCTATTATACTGAATCAATAATTTACGATGATTATCTTATCCCAACTTATTCAGGTTCTAGCACAACATCTTTTTGTTTGATCTTATTTCATCTTATTCTCCATCTTATTGTTCTCCGACTGATTGATTAATTGATATGTTTTTTCTTATTGCACATTAAAATCGCGAAAATTTCCAATCCCAAAATTTCCAATTTCTAATTTATTGTGTTTTAAATTTAATTCCTTTTCCATATTGTTATACAATTTTGAGGCGATACGAAAGATGATTATTTGGAGTATACGAATACCGAACTTTATGAGCTTCTACAGAAAATTGATCCAGTGTCTGCTCTGCAGGTTATAGAATTTTTTAAATGATTCTTTTTGTGTGCTAAATTATTTAGTAACAGATTTCATAGTCTGTTTTCTTTTCTTCTAATGGCATTTATCATTTCTGGATTAGGTAATATCAACTGTAGGCTTCTTCATCGGAGAATCAGGATTATAGAAATAAAAATAGATCCCACAGTTAAATCTATATTTTACTATATTTATTTATATCTATATTTATCTATATTTTACTTTTAATGATGGGTTCATTTCCTTCAAAGGGCAGGAGTCCTACGTTTCGTCGAGGTAATGTACCACTTGATCATATTTGCTCATCATTAATAATATTAGTATTTTTATTTCGCGCTATTTTTTATTTATGCATATAATATTTAAGATTCATCGAAATAATCGTTTACGCGTAATTCGAGCAATTGAAATTTACAAATTAACTGGTCGCACAAAAAGTGATCATATAAATGAGCAACTTGTAAGGTCGAAAATGTTAGCGCCTGGTCGACTTAGGTTTGTAAATACTTTGGTACTTTTCTTAAATGGCGACAGAACGTTCCTTATTGAACAATTGAATAAAAGAGTTGATAAAATGGTCGAAAAAGGACTTCGAGAGGAAATTGAATTATTTTATGATCGAGTGAGTTCTATTCTAAAATTTTTTTCTGCGTCAGTTCACAAGCATTTTCTTAAAATTTGTGCCATCTATCAATTTTTTTGATACATTTCGCCCATATTAATGAAAATTCATCTTTTTAAGATACTTTAAAAATCATAGAAAAAAGACAATGGGTGAAATTTATTAAAATTTAATAAATAAAATAATATTTAAAATATATAATAAATAAAATGATTTTATTAAATTTTATTAAACAGATTTACTAAAATTTGACTTTTAGTATAAAGGAATATCAAATAAACATGGTATATCACAATCAATCGCCTTAAAAGAATTTCAAAATTATTTGGATTTGGATTCTGAAGAAAGACATAGCGATCGTGGTGATCGATTATTTCTGGCCGGTTGCGAAAAATTAAAAGCTCATACTCGGCAGTTAGCACGAAGGCAAAAAAATTGGGTTAACCAGCGATTTCTTCGAAGAATTAAGAACCGTCAGGTATTTTGCCATAAAAATGGAAAATTAGTGGAAAAGTAAAGTAAATAAGTGGAAAATTAATATAATTTTGATTCTGTTTTTTTCGTTGTTTAACTAAATTTTTTTTACATTTCTTTTCAGATTTTTCGTTCCTTAATGGATTGTCTATTTGAAGAAAAAAAAATGTTAAAATTTAAAAGAATAAAAATAATTTTACAGGTGCCGACAATAGTTTATTTAGATATATTTCGAAATGATTTTTATCGAATTGCTTTCAAAGAAGTGGAAAATTTTTTATTAAATGACAATTATTGTGCTGATCGTCCAAATGTTATAAATTTAACGAATTTATCGCTAATAGAAGGAGATTATCAAACAAAAGCTAATCAAGTTAAACGATTTAAAGTTTTTTCGATTTAGAATCTTAAAAAACGACTAAGTCAAAATAAAACATTTTGATCTTGTTCAATTAAAATTTTTTTAAAAGAAAAATTGGTGATGGTTTTCACCTTTTTTCATGTTTTTTATTTTTTTATTACTCATTTATAAAAAAAACTAAGCTGAAGAAATCTTTTTATATATATTTAAAACTAAGTAATTTTAGATTTTAAATAATTTAATAATTAATAATTTTAAATAATGATTTTAAAAATTTTACCAATTTTTTTTTATATTTGGTAGAAAGTTTTATTTTTTAATTATTTCAAAAAATATAAAAATTGAGTAGAAATATTCCAGTTTATACCAGTGTCAGTTGCATTTTTAGATTTATCATTGTGATATTTGTAATAAAGATATACATGGTACGAATTGTTGGGAAAGTCATTTGGCTGGTAAATGTCACAAAAAAGCTTTGAGGCGAAATAAAGAAAAATTGAATCAGAAAAATAATTGATATCATATTCATGATCGATGAAAAAATTCAAATTATTATTAAATAATGAACTGCAATATTCTTCTTGCTACAAATACATTCTTCCGGTTGGACAAAAACATTGCTAAATGGTTGCGAAATATGGCTAATGAGAGTGGAGGATATTAAAAGTTATCTCTCTTTAACCACTCTTATCTATGACGCATTTTACGGATCCACGGATCAGATAAAATCTCATATTATTGCTCAGATATTATCTGCATTATATTAAAAATTGAATTGCATCTACATTAAAAATGCTATCACTATCTTTCATAAATATATCACATAATATATAAATATATCTGTTTTTCATTGCTCTCCGTAAGAGTTCTTAATATATTTTTCATTACTTGCCAAATTCTTCGATGGATAGCGTACGAAGCGAAGAGGGCCAATTAAAATCTGGACTGATATAAATTGGAAAGATTTTGAAGATGGACCAGCGATATGTGGACTTAGGCGATGGAATAAGGAATGGCTTCTGTTATTGTCGAGTGGCGACTGATCGAACAGCGTGGAGATGTTATACACTTGCTGGTTTTGTTAGTGTTATATTATTTATTATATATTATTTGTTATTTGATTTTCGAAATGTTTTTAGTTTGTTTTTCATAATATTTTTCATCAGTTATTTGATATTTTTAATAAAATATGATTTAAAATAATTTTATTGTTTCCAAGTTTTCTTGTATAGCTGAAGTGTATTTTTTTAAATATTCTATTTTTTTAAGGGAAAATATTTAGAAAATATTTTTAAATATATTAAATATTTTAGGAAAAATGAAATATTTTAAAGTATATTAAATGTTTTAATATGCACTATAATTATATTTTACATTGTTTTTTTAAATTGAAATTGTAACAATTTTGATAAACGATTTATTTTTTTAGAATAATTTCGCAGTGAACACTTATTATTTTTAATTAATAAAAAAAATATAAAATCACTGTTGGCAAAATGTTTGAATTCTCGTGCAAAATTAAAGCGGGTAAATTTTGGAAAAATACTGGGAAATATAGTTTTGAAAGGTTTGTGGTACTACTTCGATAGAGTTTTTTATTGAATGAATGAGTATTGCCATTTTTATTGCAATTTTGATATGGATTAATGACTTATTTATGAAAAATTTGAATTAAAAATTATTTTAGACGAACTATCATAGAGTTCAGTAGGCTTGGTAGGATTGGAATCGTTTTAACAACCAAGTGAGTGCTGCGGATAAATGATTAGGTCCGCGTATAATATAATAATGCATGAGTGTTGGTGGCGACCCACCTGTACTTACTTCTCGAAGGTATATCGCCAAGAGGCGACGAACCAGCAGAGTGAGCCTTAGTTATTTTGTTTTTCTGCGTTAAAAAGATGTTCTGACTTGGAAAGAAACAATTCTCTAAATGATTTTTTGGATTTTACAAAATATGAACTCTTTTGGATCTTTTAAAAATTTATTTGAAAAAATTTGAATAATTTTCGAAAATATTTATAAAAATTTGACAAAAAACCCTCTAAAATAATTGATAAAAATAAGAAATGAATTTTTTACGAAAATTGAAATTGAAAATTGATATTTTTATGAAAAGTTGAAATTCATAAGAAATTTGAAATTCTTTCATTTGACGTGCAAATAATTGAAAAAACCTCAAAGTTTGCAATAATTAAATTTTTGTATTAAAATTTCAGTTAAAATTTGGTAAAACAGGTTTATTTTATTTACAAAAGATTAGCGTTAGCCATTAAGCTAAATTTTCTTCATTTTGCAAACATATTCTTTATAAACATTTAACGTGGTCATTATCAGTTCGTTCTTAAGAAGAGATAAGCCTGCGTCCTTATCAGTTCAATCATTGCCCTTCAAGAAGAGATAAACCCATGTCCTTATCAGTTCAATTACTGTCTCTTGAGAAGAGATAAATCTATATCATTATCAGTTCAATTAGTCTTTTTTTCGGCAAAACGATCGCATTTTTAATAGCCAATAGAGCCAATTAAGCGAAAAATAATGAATGCTATTTGTTGAAGAATAATAAATATTTTTCTAAATATATTTCAAATAAGCCTTAAAATAATGCCTTAAGCCTTAAAATAAAAAGTTTTTTTTAAATAAAATATTTTAAAATATAATTTTTATTTCTATTAAATTGGTTTTGTTCAACGTTTATTCGTTTTCAAATAATTAGGCAAATATATTTTAAACGATTCAATTTCAATGTCTACGAAAATAATTTTTTTTGTTTTTCGTTAATTCAATAAAATAAATTAAAATTTTTTATTTTTATTAGTTAATTTTTATTAATTACTAATAAAATTGAATAAAAATGCGTTTTTATTTTTTTGTATACGAAAAATTTTTGGATGAAAAATATTATCGATGGATGGAGGGAATGGCTGAATGGACGATTGCTTGGATAGTTCATGAACGAAGCATCGAAGAACGAAAACCAAACGAAGCAAAACCAACTAACAATAAATAAACCAGCTAGTTGACCGTACTGTGTGGAAACCCAGTTTTCTGTTTACTTTTGTATTATTCACTTCATTTGATTAATATTTGTTAAAATTTTCGTCGAGTTAAGCAGAATTCATCGCAGAATTTTAGCCATTTTATTAAAATCGTTTTTTTTTTTTTAAAGAAAAAAATTTTAGCCTAAAATATTTGCGAATAGAATAAGTACCATTGATTTGCTTGGATTTTAATTACGCTTAAATACTAAAAGGATAAGTCGATAAATTATGTAGTAAATAAGATTAAAAGCAAATATTGGATAAAATTGGTTGAATGATTTTGTGGATGAGATTAATTTGTATTAATTAAAACGAATTTGATTTCGATGAACGATCACATTAAAATTTATTTATTTGATTTATATTTATTTAATTTTACACATTCATTCGTCTTAAAGAAATTTTTTTTGATGAATTAATGCGTTTCGTTTTCGAAAATTTCGGAAAAATATTTTTTTTCTCAATTTTTATTTCGATGTTCGCCGAAAGAATTCTTTTTTTTTCATGGATTTTGAGGAAATTGAATCGCAAAATTTGAAGAATTTGAACCGATAAGCGAGCGATTTAAGTAAAATTTTTATTTTTAGAAATATTTTATTTGTATTTATTCCAATTGAATTTCCACTGGTGTCATAAATTTTATTTCTTTGAAATATGCCTTTGGGCGATACGATAGCTGATAATCGAATGAACTAAAGCCAAGTCGTAGCATATTCGATTTCTATTTCTCGACGCGAGTAAACCTAAAATTAAATATGAAATCCGTGTGGCGTCAGAATAGAATCCTATATTTGCAAATGACTCGCCGCCAAGGATGGTTTTAGGAAAACAGTTGGCATTATTGGAAAAAGAAGACAGTTTTATGGCTGAAGAAGAGCATTCTAAATTTCATATGGGAAGAATCATTTCTTCCATATTTCTTGTATGAAAGCAGCAAAAAACAACAAATCGAATCATTTTAAGGAGCTTTTAAGAGCTTTTAATCTTAATCGTTAAAATCGCTTTTCTCTTTTCATTTTCTTCGAATTTTGTTCATTTATTTATTTTTTATTTTTTTACTAAAATTTTACTTTTTTCATAAATCAATTCGATTTAGTTTATCAGCTAAATTATTCAATCGTTCTTTACTCGTCGTTAAATCACTATTTGTTTATTTATTTTCCTATCGATAATCAATCAAATTTTTATTGTTTTTAATTAAAAATATACAATTTTTATAATAAAATAATAAATAATAAAAATAATAATAATGAATAAAATTTTAATGAGGGAAAAATTTGAGATATTTGTGAGAAATTTTCGATGAAATTTATTAAATTTATTAATAATTAAATTTATTAAAATAAAAAATTTATTAAAAATTTCTCAAAAAATCGAATTTTTCGAGTAATAAAATCGAAACGATTTCGAATGATTTGATTCGTTCCGATTCCGATTTTTTGTTTCGGTTCACAATGAAATTTCTCTTCGCCACGTTGGCATTAGACTTTGTTTAGCTTTTAAGTCAATATAACCAACGATTATTGGGAAAAAGGCTTTTTTTCATTTCGAGTGGTTCCACTCACAAATAAACTTTTTTTTTTCTTAAATTTTTCATTAATGGAATAATTCTATGTTTTTCTTTCACTAATTCTATTTTATTATAAGTGAAAAGCATCAAATGAAATTATGAACACTCAAAATTAAGTAAAAAACATGGAGAAGGCAAATAGAAAATTCCATGCGATTTCTTTTTTTTTTCTCATCAGTTATTTGCATTTTTACTCGAATTGAACTTTCTTTTTGAGGATTTTTCCTATCAGAAATAATCTTTATTTGTTTATTTATTTTTGATTTTTTTTCAAGTAAAAAATGATTTAAATTGATGATTTCACTTATTTTTTTGCAATAGTTAATTTAGTTGCAATAGTCGAATTTAATAAATATGTGCAACATCCAAAATTTCTTGCAATTAAATTTGCAGAAAAAATTCAAATTATTTGTTTTAAATTTATTTAAATTTAAATTAATAAATTTATTTATTTAAATGAAATTTTAAAAAAATTTGTATTATTAATTAATTTGTATTATAATATTATATAAAAAAATATTAGTTAATGTGAATTACACCATAGAAATAAAATTTTATGAGTCGAAAAGATACCAATCTCTAAAACATCAGCACTTTATTTATTGGAACATAAAAATGGTAATGATGACGACTTTCTTCAATAGCATTATTTTTGAAGCTTATTTTTTGGCATATTATCTAAAGAAATCCACGAAGCACGCTAATTTTTTACGTTTATTGAAAGTTTATCACTTATAGAAACTAATTTGGAATATTTTAAAGAGGCAATTTGCTATGAAACAAAATCGAAAGTGAAAAGACGCTAAAAAAATGCCTTCATCATTCGAGAATCGTTTTAAGCCGAGGAAAGATCGCGAAGGTCGAGTTTCTGCGGTCCGAGTTCGAGAAGAGACTTATACAACGGAAAATGGGGATATCGAACGAATCGAAGTCGAAGAGAAGGATGAAGAGGAATATTGCTACGTTAACGATGATCGTCGTTCGACAACACCACCGCCAGTACATCGATATTTTGGCGATATTTCTGATTTGAATTGTACAACAGATGAGATTATTGAAACGAATACGGTATGTGCCTTCGTTATTTCTTTTCCTACCTAATATTTCAATATAATTAGTGGTAATTTTCTCATTAATATTCTAATTTGATGGAGGAAATAAATGGCGCAGTAAGTCGATGTTGTAAAAATAATCACAAAATAGCATTTTCCGTGACATTATAGGATAAAATTGCATGGCGATATTCTTAGCTACTATTGTGTGCCAGTTAGTGGTTGAGTTAATCACCTGAGAAAGAACCTGAGGCCAATTACTTACTTAAATGATTTCTCTGTTAAATCCATCATTATGTAGTAAATCATTAAAATGAAGCCTAAATGGCTATCAGAGATTCAAATGATCAGTGCCAATGAGCCATTTAAGTGTTCTTAACAATAGCCAAAACTATAAATATAAATATATGATGATAAACGAACGAAAAAAAGAAAAAACTGGATAATTTTCAGTTAATAAAGATTTTTTACCTTGGCTTTTCGTTAAAATTTATAACTTCCAATCTAAATTTATTCCAATTTAAATTTCTAAGATATTTCGAAATTAATTTAGATGATAAGCTTATAATTTTATCAGACTTCAAGCAGTTAATCAGCTGATAATTTAGATGATAAGCTTAGTATTGCAATTTTATAAAATTTCAAATAATTAACCAGTTGATTTAGGCGATAAAATTAGCGTTATAATTTTATCAGATTTCAAATAGTTAATCAGATTTTATCAATTGTTTTTTTTTTTACTTTAGAAATTTTCAACAAAACAATAAATGATTGCTTTATTCAAAAAAGATTCAACGATTGTTTAACGAAAACTCGAAATTCACAAAGATTTTATTTACTTTAACTTGAAATTAGAGTTTTATTGCTATAATATTTCAATTTCAAACCTATTTGAAGATTTGAGATATTCTAAGAATTTCAAAAGATTTGCCTTCTTCGAATAGTCAAATATATTCGAAAATTATATTCTCACATTTCTCCTCGTCTTAATTTTTCGTTTAATTTATTTTCCATTATATTTTCACACTTATTTTTTTAATCGTTTTAATTTGAAATCCTTTGGAAAATCGCATAACAAATAAAGTGTTTAGCGTTAAAGAAAAACCTCCGACAAATCAAGCATATATAATTTGGAGCCATTAATAACGAATAATAGCCTTTTTTTGCCATGGATCCTAGGAACAGATGCACCCAGCCAGGTGAAGCTAGTAGGTCTCTTCTTGAAGCCTATGGAACACTTCAAAAAATAGCAATTTTGAATGAATAAAATAAGATATATGAGAGTGTAGTGAGGAAATTCATGAAAATATCTCTGATGCTGGTGCGGTGCGAGGTGACAAAGGCAATTAATCACTGTAGCTTTCCATACATTCGCATATATTCATTATAGAAGTTTACTTAAAGATAAGTGGAAACGAAGAAAATACTTTGTAATACTTTCCCACTCAAGTTCAGAAATTTCTCCGAGATCCATGGAACTTAGATTATTGGCCCGTTTTCATTTTCGATAAACCTTTCGTCGTTACTCATCACTTGCCAGGAAGTCCAAGGAGGGAAATCCAGGGATTATTTTATGATGCGCGATAAAAAAAATTTTAAACAAATTTTCGGGCTGGCCGTAATCCACAAAAACGAGCACCGCGGCCACATTTAATTCGAATAGCTCGTGCAGCAGTAAAATTTGATTGATCCTGAAAAATTTTTTTTTAGCGTCGGGAAGAGCGCCGTGAATATGAATTGCGACGATGTTCGAGGGAAAATTTGCTAGAAAAAGATTTTTCGAGGAGAAATAATTTTCATGAACGTGGAAAAAACGAAAATTTTCATAAAAATGACGAAGATTTATTTCGAAGAGAAATTAAATTGAAAAAAGATAATCAAACCTCATCAAAATTTCGAAAAGCACAAAGTAAGTATTCTTTGCTATTTTCGCTATTTCTGTCGAAATTGCCAAAATTTGCTTAGATTTTGCCAAAATAAATTAAGAATATTTCTCAAAGTTTTCGAATTTAAAATCGGGCAATTTTGAGAGAATTTTTTCAACTTTGTTTTTTCACCTTTTTTAAAGCTTATTTTTGTCAGATTTATTTTTGTCGTAAATGCTTTTTGTATTTTTTGTTTATTTCTGATTTATTTTAAGTTATTTTTGACATATCCGATTTATGAATAACATAAATAACATAAATTTCAACATAATTTTATAGTCGGTCAATTCATTTGCGAATTGTACTGCCATATACTGCCATAGTAAGAAAACGACGATTCGTTTTCCATTATTAGAATTGTCGCTGATAAAATGTCATTTATCATTGGCAAATTATCAACACATTTTTCAGAAACAATTAATTGCATTGAATTCAACGAAATGTTTTTCTTCTTTTATCTATTATTTTTATTTCTCTATTTATTTTCAGTATAAGTGAAATTAAAATTAAGCTTTCTAATGAAACATTAACAAGCATTTTGATCAAAAAAAAGAACAAAAATCCAGGCATTCCTTATGAAAATAAATATCTGTTAATTGAATTGAATATAGCTCGTAGAGTGACTGCAAATTAATGGATCGCAATATTAGTTTGCAAAGTAGATAAGTAAATGGTGAAAGAAATGAAATAAAGTTGTATGGAAAAAACAACAGTTCTATGCTTTAAATTTTATCTTCTAAATACTTACCAATCTTGATTTTAGGAAGAAACCTGCTTAATTTTATAGAGATAGAGGGACACTGACTTTCGAGTATCATCCTATCGTTTATGAGTCGACTTAGCCAATAAATTTCTTTGGGAGATTTATTGGTTGACGAGAAAACTTTGAAAAAAGATAATCAAAATGACAAAATGGCAAATAATTTATAATTATTAAAATTATTGAGCAAATATCATTAGTAAAAAGTTAATTTTAATTTTAAGCAGATAAAAGTGAAATTGGTGAATATCAAAGGCGATTTGATATGGCCGATGAAATTGTTGATTACGATGGAAGATATCAAAATCGTGGCGTGAACATGTCAGTTGATTATAGCCCTTGTAATTTTCAAGATTCATTAGCAACGATAGATGCAGCATCCAGAGGTGAAAATATTCGAGTGCATCATCAAGGTGACACAACGATTGTAACAGAACATCGAGATCCTTATTCGTTTTATTGGCAGCTTGATCAAGTTCGACAACATAATGAAGATCCACCAAGGTAGTTTTCTATTTTCTTATTGTTTTTGGGTATCTTCTAATATTATGCGCACTATTTCCAGGTTGACTGATTCAATTAACTATTAAAGTGAGTCCTTTGATCTGAGAATTCTATGGAGATGTAGATAATTTTCTTTTCCGCCATTTTTTTTGTTTTTAATGGCATCTTTGCTGCGATCGAGAAATTAGAATCGAAAACTTGCTACTAGCTATCACCTCAATTTAATACAATTTATCCACTATGCTTCATTCAGAATTCTCCGTATGCATCTCATTTTTAGCGTCTAGTTAGTTGCATTTAAAACTTATCTATTCAAGAATGAGTCAAACTTATTTCATTCTTTTGGACAAATGTATGAAAAAGTAAGTAGGAATCTTCATTTTTGCAAAATAAAATCTAATTCTTAGACATGCCCTTCCAACTGATTATGTGATTGATGAAGAAAATATTGCTGAAACTGTTTTGTCGCCTGACAGTCACGACAGCGGTATTCATATTGAAAGTCAATATAGTCGGCCGATTAAAGTTGACGAATCCCAATCTCTGCTCATGAATCCTCCTCTTCCTCCAGGATGGGAAAAGCATGAAGGTATATATATTAATTTGGAACTTATCTATTCAAGAATGAATTAAATAAAATGTCTAAATTGAATTTTTTAATTTTGATAATCAAAAATTTTTCTTTTCAGTATTTGAGCCGAATTTTTTTTAAAAAACTTAAAGTTTATCTTTCTTATGTCTTTGGGTTTGTTTTGGGTTAATATTTTAAGGGGTAAAAGTTCTTTTTGTACTTGGATTCAGAATATTAAATTTATCATAATGCAGTAGAAGTTCAAGGAAAAATTTTTAGATCCGTCAGGCTATTCATACTATTGGCATATTGACACTGGGACAATACAGAGGGAGCCGCCGGTAAGAGTTTTTTTGATAATTTTTTTTCTCTATTAGACATACTGCTAATGAGCGCAAAATAATATGAGCGTTGCTTATGCTAAGATTTTTTTGCCAAGAATTATTAGCATATTTGTTTCATTTTTGTCTGCAGTTTATAATTTTCTTTTTTTTCGCTTAAAATTGTTCCATAAGATTCATTAAAAATATCCAGATTTCAAAGTTTAGACGACTGTTTTTCAAATTTCTGTTTCATTCATTGATCATTCCACAGAATGATGGTTGGGATTTTTCTTATTTGATTTATCTTAGAAATTCTGACTCTTTGAATTCAAGTTTGAAAAAAAAGAAGTGCTTAACGCTCATTATTTCTGATTAGGCTTTTCCACTTTATAAGTTGTCAGTGCCATCCGATTTTTTCAATGATAACAAACCCTGATATTCGAATTCTTCGAATGAGAATAAAATTCCTTTATCATTCCTTTTTTCAGTTTAAGAGATGGTCAAACTGGATTTTAAGTTTCACTTTTACAAAAAGTTTTGAAAGTTATCTCGGAGAAAGTTTAAAAAATTTAGCAGGGACCATCGCCATCTGTGCGATCCACACCTATATTCACACGAGTTGAAACGAAGAATCGTGAAATACAAGTAGATGTTCCCTCAGCCGCTACTGCAACTCAACAACAACTTCCACGACAATCGTATCAGCCTATAATTGAAGAACATGCATATAAGCAAACTACTACTAAACGACAGATTGATAATGAATTTCAGAATGATGGTGATTATGAATCTGGAAAGGTATTTTGCTTTTCTTAGTTGCAGATAAATTTATAAACAACTAAAGCTGAAAATTTTTCTATTCCGAAGTATGAATTAAATTCTTCTCTAAGATTTGCGTTCTATGAACCGAGGAGAAATTTAGATTTTTAGTTCATTAGATTTTTTTATCTATAATCAAGTAAATATATTTATCTGCATTTAATCAACATTACAAAAAATAGAAGTCTATTAATTCTAAACTAGAAGTCTATTAATTCTTGGATTTCATTTGATATTTTTCTCAAATTTAAATTTAAATTTAATTTAATTTAAAAAGCAAAAAATTGCAAAAATTATAGCAAATCAACTCCAATCCTTTGATAGATAAAGCTGAAATTTTTTTTATTTGGTACATAGTTTGGCTTTTTTTCTAAAATTTCCTTTGGTTTAAAATTTTGAATTTCTTAGAAAAATTTTTTCAAAAGTTTGGGAAATAGAAACATCTAAAAGTGAAAATCTTTTTTTTATTTTTTCTTTCTTCCATTTTTATTTTTTCTATTTATTTATGATTTTTTCATTATTGTTATTTCGTCGTTCTATATTAGTTATGAAGTTTTCTTTTTAAGAACAATTTCCAAGCTTCATAATGTTTCAAATTCTTTGATTTTTTGTTTGTTTGAATGTTTTTGCAAATTTTGTTGTATATTTCAATTTTGTCTTTTTTTCAGAAGGAGATTTTTTTTCTAATATTTTCAGTAATTTCTGAATTAATAAAACGAAAAAAAATAGTACTTGTTAAGGTTTTATTTTAGATTAGATTAGAACCATTGGATTAAGCGATATTTTTATCAGCCGTTTTTTTTTGCATTATCAAAATATTTTCGAAAGCTTTCATTTAATATGGAAGGAAGTCGAAGAGATCTTGCTAATATGCATCAGTTTTGCTCAAAATTTGTAATTTTTTTTAACAACAAATTTTAATCTTTCAAATTTTAATCAAATTTTAATTTTAATTTTAATTTAATATTTTAGTGATCTTATCAATTTATTTTGTTTTTTTTGTTCTTTTATCAGAATCGCTCTAAATTCTATTTTTATATCATTTGTGATTTAAATTTCGGCTCTAATAGTTTTTCGGGTCTAGTATTTTTCTTGCTTAGTACTTCTTAGTACTTTGTTATTGAAAACTTAATATCATATCAGATCGAAAATACGTTAGAAATACGGATTATGGAAACGAATGCCGTGTTATGCACATGTTTCGATTTTCACATATATAGTGATATTTCATATTTTAATAAGTCACTAGAGATTTATACGAAAAGTTATTATTCTTAGCAGAGGGAAACACAATTTGGACAGCCCTGGGCATAGATTCGAAAATTAATGATTGTTGGTCAAAGGCAGTAAGAAAGAAGAGAAATATCAGAGAAAATTTGTTGATTATCAGCTGTGTTCTTTCTAATTGTCTCCTTTTAAAATTTATCATTATATGATAATATCATTTATGGGTTCAAATGATCACGATCTACCTCATCGAATTACTTCATTAGTTGGCGTTATTCTATATTTACGAACTTGTATTATGGTTTGTTTATTTATTTATTTCAATTTTTTTCGAATTCGATTAAGTAAATGATATTAGTTCAACTATTTATTGCAAGGTGATAAGATGGATGATAAAAATTATTTATAAATTTATTTGGCTATTTTTTCTCTAATTTAATTTATTTATGGCAGTATATTTCGTTGAATCATCTTCTTGGAGCATTACCATTTCAGAAATTGAAATTATTGGATGGCTTTCATTAAATTTTATTCTATATCAATCATGATTTCGGCTTATCAGTTTATTCTCTTTTTTTGTTAAAACAGATGGATCTTTAACCGACATTCGGAACTTCTCTTCTAATGATTGATTGGCTCCCTTCAGGGGAACGCTATCGCATATATTTTTAAAAATTACTTTATATCAGATTTTAAAATTCCTAATTTTTGGAATGTTTCAGCCTGTTAGATTTGCTATTCGTTCATTGGGTTGGACTGAAATAGCAGAGGAAGATTTAACAACTGAAAAGAGTTCAAGAGCCGTCAATAAAGCGATAGTGGATTTGAGTACTGGTCGTAATGATATTATGGATAATGTTTCGAAATGGGGTGATGTATGTTTCTCAATTTTCAATGGTTTTTTACATAATATTTGTAATTTGTTTGATTTTTTTCTCTTTTCATTCTTTTTCATTTCTCTTTGGTGGAATGGAATATTTCTAATCTTTTTATTCTATAATAATTTTTGTAGTACGAAAAAAAAAAATTTACAGGGTCGTGAACTAATTATGGAAATCGATGATAATGATTTAACGCTAATTGATCCCGATACAATGGCTGTTATTCATTCAGAGCGTATACATCAGATTCGTGTGTGGGGAGTTGGTCGAGATAATGGCCGGTTTGTATATTTCGAAATTTGTTCATTTTAATTTTTTACTCATTTAAATTGGCAGTTTTCTACCAGAAATGTGGTTTTGTTCGATTTTTTTATAAGTGGAATGAATCGAATATAATCAGAAATCGTTATTTCTTTATAATTGAACAAATTAGCTGAATGATGGCCATGAAAATTTGAATTAGTGTTGACGGAAATATAAAATCGGAAGAGATTAGAGAAAATGATAAGGATTAAAGATAAAAATTATAAATAACTGATAAAAGTATTATATGTTGTCATATTGGCGTAATGTGGTTAATTGCTGCCCTAATTATCTAAATGATTCAATAGATCATCTGATAGATTCTTTTACCACCGAAAGGTCAACTATCTTATTGTACTCGATTAGTTGAAAGAATACGAATGTTTTGTTTGTAATTTATTGCTATGAACATTTTGACCTGTCAGAATGTTTTAGAAATTCGCAATATTTTCATGGTCATCTTTTTCACTTATTGATTCCCAATTCATCATTCTAAGGGAATATAATCTTTGCTTTGATTTATTTAATTTATAATCCATAATGCAATATTGAGATAGCATCTAAAGCTTTTAGGCTTTGGAGATTCATAAGAAAAATTTTGTGGTTTTTCTTTTTGTTTCCTATAATCTGATTATTTTGGTTTAGGTATATACTATAATGAATTCTAGGATGATAAGATTTCTGATGTAGATATAAAGATTTATAAACAAATATAAAGCCCAAAGTAGTGCCACTGTTGGTAGGGACATTAGGGATTATAGCTGCTAAACTAAAAAAATGGATGTGAAAAGTAATTGATTCTATGCATAATATTAGAGATTTGTGTGCAGAAGAGCGCACTATTAGGAGTAGGTAAGATACCGTAGAACCTTCAAGCTCCCAGGGTATCTATCAGGTAACTCGAGGCTGAGGATGGCACGTTCTACTCAAGGTGTTAGAAGAGGATAGAATGGCTCAGTGGGTTGCTATTCACTTGGGAGCGCCGATACTGAGGTTCGATTCCCCGCAGGAATAAACCTATACAAAAATCTGAATGATGCTGGCGACTCACTTGTATTTCTATCGCAAAGGAACTCTCTGGCATATTTGTTCAATGCCAGCCAGCGGAGCGAGTTTAGCCAATAATGATGAAGATTCTTTAAAAAAAGGAGATTTATATATAAATATAATGCTAAAGATTTATGATTTTTTTAGATATTAAAATTACAGTAGGAAAATTTTTCATTTTTTGACCTAACTTAAAAAATTGTCTTTGAAATTTTCGTTTCGCTTTTGGTGCAAATTATTCTCCAAATTTTGTTTTAGCACCAATTTCTAATTAAATATTTTACAATTTTTTTACAATTTTACAATTTTTTAAATTTTTTGCATTTATACAAAATTCGGGCTCATAATTTTTTGATAGGATATTTTCTCGCTATTTTTAATTTAATTATTTATTCGAAGAAAATTTTTTTTTCTATATGAATTTAAGTTATTAAAAATTTATTTAAATCTTTTTATCTTCTTCAGTGACAGGTTAGTTATTATTATTGCATGATGAATACTTATTATTGTCGCGAATATTTTATTTATTCGCTAATATAAAAATGAACTAAAGCGCTTACATTTAGAAAAATGCATTTGGAAAAAATATTCATTGGATGATTCCAATTATCGCTTTAGGCTTTAATAGCTGTACATTTGGTGTTTTTTTTGCTTTGAAATGTTTATTGTATTGTCTCTTTTTATCGCTTTTTTTTAAAAAAATCCTTTCAGTCCGAGCATGTTATTCATTTTTTATTGCTACTATGATTATTTAAATAAACTTTCATTAAATAAACCTAATTAAAGAGATTTTGCGTATGTTGCTCGCGATCGAAATTCTCGTCGTTTTATGTGCCATGTGTTTCGATGTGATACGCCTGCACGGACTATTGCTAATACTTTACGTGATATTTGCAAAAAATTGATGCTTCAGCGAAGGCCAAATACTATAAATTCTTTGGAACACAAAGAAAGAAGGATAATTGCGAGTAAATTAATATATTTTTTGCGGTCATCATGGTTTCTGCTTTATAAAAATTTGATATAATTTGCAGGAGATAATTCTCTTCCAACTCCTATTGAAGAACCGAAAAAAACGATTCGATGCCATTTTCTAGGAGTAACACAAGTTCCTCGAGCAACAGGCATTGAGATTTTGAATGAGGCTGTTGACCGACTTCTTTCTCAGGTTCTATTGAAACTTCTATTGAACTTTATAGAGATATTTTTTTCTCATATTTGTTGTATACATATTATATTTGTATATTTTTACAATAAATCTCATTTGAATTTTTTAGGTTCGTCCGGATAGATGGATTCTTGCTGATGTTTCGATAGCACCTTCGACTATAACTATAACTGAAGTAAATGGTAATCAAATTGCTCAGTGCAGAGTTCGATATTTATCATTTTTGGGGATCGGGCGTGACGTCAAGTATGCTTTTATAAAATCAACTTATGGACTGTTGATTATTATTCGAAAATTCTTATAGATTAAAACGCAGTTAAGGGAAAGTCCATTTAATTGCCCATAATTGTTTATAAAAAGTCTTGTGGATATCTCATATTTCATGTGGATATGTGGATGTGGATATGTGGATATTACCACCCAGTTTTCTTATTTTTATCATTGCAGACATTGTGCGTTTATAATGCATACATCTTCCGAAAATTTTATGTGTTATGTTTTCCATGTTGAGCCGTCTGCTGGTCCTATGGCTAAAACGATTGAAGCTGCATGTAAATTACGCTATCAAAAAGTATTGGACGCTCATTCCAATGGTCATCTTCCTGTTAATGGAAAGGTTAATTTTATTTATTTTGATAGTATCTTTATGTGATTTCTTAGCATTATTCTATGCTAACAGCTTGATTCAAGCACAATTTTATATTATATTTTTCATATTCATTTTTTTTTAGAGATGGGGTGATACTTTCTGGAATGCTTTAGGAACAGTCAAAGATCGTTTTACAAGCCGAACATAAAATTGATGAAAGTATTATTCATTTACTCTTTCAATTCGACCTTCATCTATATATTTTTAAGCTGCAGAGAAGGAATAGACGAAAAAAAATTATCGTCAGGTGCGAAGAAATTTTTTTTTTGCATTTACTTTGTCGTATTATTTTGAAATTTTTCGAGAAAAGATGGTGGTGGAAATGAAAATATTCTAGCAATAATGTGCTATAGGGGAGAATTTATTTTCTTGTGCGCCGATCTAAAATAGATATATAACGAATATTTGAATTCGAGACCGTTTAATAACACTTTTTTTAATCTATTTTTTATTTGTTGAATACGATTGTCCATATTTTTGCTACTTTTTGTGCCATGAAATAAAGTGATATTTATATATTTAAAATAATACATTTAATATTTTTAATATTAAATTAATATATTTGATATTTTAAATAATTCATCCGTATAATTCGTATTTATAATTCCATTTTCATTACGTTTGCTTTATTATCTTTGTAGTGTTTAATGTAGAGTTTATCATTATAGAGTTTAGAGTATATATAAATGTTTTTTAAATGTTTAAATGTTTTATATGGTATTAATACGAAATAAAAGGTGAATTACGATTATCATCGTTTGCATTTCCCATTATAAATTGTCAAATAGCTAGGATTCATATCAGTTGAAGGAGAACAACGCTGAAGGTCTATAATTTGGTAATTTAATTTGGAAAAATAAATCAATGCCTTTTAATGGAATTTATGGAATCTTTTTTGAATCTTCCTATATTTTGTCGAATAATTCAATTTTTATCGTTTTCGCATTTTCGAAAAATATAAACGATATTAAAATTTTAGAGGTTTTATATCAATAAATATATTCATTTTGATTGGATTTAATATAATCGAAAGGGATTGGAAGGAAGAAAAAAGAAATTTTCTTTATCCTAGCAATCATTTGAAGGAACCAACTAAATCAACTGAAATTTTATTTACATAAATATTTTTCGATAAAAATTTTAGTTGATTGCAAATTTTATTTCACACTGAATAGATTTCGAAAATGAAAATTTGTAAAAAAAAAAAAAAAAAGAAATTAACAGGAAAAAAACGAATCGATATAATATGAAATGGCAAATTTGTTGGTTTTTTGGTGAAAATTATTCGGTTGTTTGGTTCAGACAACATTGTAGTTCGTTTCTCGAAATACTAGGAGAGTGCCGAATTTGCTTGAAATAAGACAAGTAGAATTCGTATAATTAAGGAGTTATTTTTTGCAGAGTCCAATAACACTTGAAAAACCGTCCGTCATTCGGCGAATTTGTTTTTCAGATGCATTTTCAGTTGCTTGGAAAAATGATATGATTGAATTTCTCGGTTCTCCAATCCTGAAAATTTATATAAATTTATGAAAAAATTTATATAAATATGATTTTCTAAGCAATATTTTTTAAATTTTTTTTCAGTGCTTATTGTCGCCTAAAGGAATTAATTTTAAAAAAAAAATGCTTAATATAATTATTTTTATTATTATATTTATATTATATTTTATTATTATATTTTTTGAAAAATTAATATCTCTTTTTAAAATAAAAAATTTCAAATTTTACTTTCTATTTTTTATTAAATTAATCATTAATTTTATTATTTTTAAAAAATTCATTTAAAATATCCATCCATTCATTTATTTATTCATTTATCCATTAGCAATTATTAGGAAACGCTTTTTTATAATTAAAATTTTTGAAAGACAAAATTTTTAAAAATCGAGCCTCGCATTAACAGCTGAGCCAACCAATGGATGAATCTCATCATTAACTGATATTTGCGAATATATTTGATCAACTTGTCCGGTTTTCCAAAACTGATCGGCTTTTATATCTGGCACATCGTCGCGGCAATCGTCAACAACGCATAGCGCTGTCTAAAATTCATTCATTTGAATAAATAAATAAATAAAATACAAATTAGAATTTTTATAAAAAATTAATGAAATGAAAAAAAAAAGAAACGTACAGCTAAATTTTTATCGATAAGAAAATTTCCTTCAAAATCGTCATCGTCTTCACCCAATGGATTTAAGAGAACTTCAGCGGCTTTCATCCAACCCACATAAAAAACAAATTGTACTAATGTCATTAATGGAATATAGGTTGTTATGACAAATAGCTGAAATTAAAATATTTATGATAGCGCTTTAGAGAATGGAGGGTAGAGAGGGGGGGGGGGGGGGGGGGGGGGGGGGGGGGGGGGGGGGGGGGGGAAGAGGAAAGGGGAATGAGTTTGAACCCTAAGGATAATACAAATGATAGCTTTTGTAATGCCAAATTTGTGATCTATTTACAACTAAATTTTAAAAATACGCTTAGCATTACTATTAAAATGCGAGGATCATAGGAAAGGATCGACGTTCATTCCAATGGAGATGCAAAATTTATCAACTAAAAAAATTATGGCGAGAAAAAAGTTCAAATAGTTGAAGAGTAAAGGTAATGCAAAATGGTTTTTTTGAAGAACTTCAGGCTATATAATCCAAACTTATAAAAGAGCACTCACTATTGCTCGTTAGACTCGCTCGACTGGCTTGTCGGCTTAGGCCTAAACGTTCCAGCGAATTCGTTGGCGATAGAAATATAGGTAAATTATTGCAGTAATTTACAAATATAAATGATAAAAATCAAGAAATTCTTCAAAAAACTAATTGGAATCTTACAGTTTCATTGTTTTCTTCTCCAGTAACTTTAAATTGTCGTGCAAATAGGCATGATAAAAAATAAAAATATACAGCAATCATTATCACCTAAAATATTTATATTTCATTAAAAATGTATAGATTATAAAAAAAATGAATTTCGAAGATTGGATGAGAATTCGAGAAGGAATTTTTCAATTATAGAAGATCACTGTTGCATTTATTATCATTATTAATCATTATTATTAATTATTATTAATATTATTATTAGTTATTATTATTGATTATTATTGTTAATCATTATTATTATTATTATTTTTATTATTATTATCATCTCATTATTATTATTTTGTTTCATTATCATCATTTCATTATTATCAATATTATCTTATTATTACTGTTATTATTATTGTTGGTATTATTATTGCTATCATTATTACTATTATTATTAATGATATTATCATCACTATTATCATTATTATTGTCATTATCACTATTATTATTGACATTATTGTGTTATGATCATTTATTATCATTCATTATTTTTACTATTATCGTTATTTTTTATTATTACTATTATTGCACTGGAATAGTTCAAAAAATTATTTATTTAATTTTGAAACTCACTAAATATAATGAGGAAATTTCTTGATGTAAATATTAAAATAATTGTTTAATAAGCAGCGAGATTCAGTCGAAGTAGTCTACTCAACCGCATAAGTCGAAGATTTATCAGTTCTTTCGATTAAGATTTCCACTCGTAAGTTTTCAAAAGATAATTTTCTCTATTTTTCATCGTTTTTCTCAAAATTGCTATCTTATCATTCTTATCAAATTCCCTGATGTCTCACACTTTTATTATTCTTGCAGCATTTTACTGCGTGTTTCGAATTCTTAAACAACTTTTGGAAAGCATCATCAATTCTAATTAACTGAAAATTTAGGAACCTTTTTGAATTTGAATTATTTTTCACGATCGCATAATAAAAAATTTTGAAAATATGCAAGTCTCTTTTATAGTCATTAAGGAATTAACAAAAATTAAAAAATTGCAGTTTTTAGAATTAAGCAAACGCGATTTAAAAAAATTTCTCTTTTTTTCGCAATCTTGATTATAAAATTGTAAAAATAAATTATTAAAAATTTATTTATTAAAATTTATTAAATATAATAAATAATATAATATAGTATAATATAATATAATAAATTATCAAAAATATGAAAATAATTTAAAATATATTGATATATATTCAAATGTATTATAAATATATATCAATAATAAATAGATAATATAAATAAAAAATGTAAAATTTATCATAATAAATTTAAACTGAAAAATGGACTATTTTTTTTTCCAACACATCGAAATTCCGAGGAGATATTGAAAAATACCTGCGGATAGACTAAAGGTATAGGAACCCAGTCGTAAATGCATAATGTTTGCAGATTTGCTCGAAATACATCCAACTCCTGAAAAATTTTTCTATGATTTTTTATTTTAGATTATAAAATATTTAGCGAAACAAAAACTATTTATTGTCAATTAGCCATAGAAATATTTTAGAATTTTTAGCGGGCCAAAATTTTATTAATAATTTTATTTAATTACGGATTATTTCTCGACTGCCTTAAAGAACAGAGTCGCCAGCATCACCTGGATTTTCGAAGAATTTTTTCTTCGGAAGCAGACTTCCAGTATCGGTGCTTCTAAATGACTAAACGATTCTATATCATTTTGCTTTAGGTGGTACTATACCGTAATGAAGCATGGTACATCGGCATTGATTCTCGATTCTCGTTGGTCATCTTACAAGTAAGTCACCGACGCACCATGAAATAATTACGAAAGAAAAAATTTAAATGAACAAAATTTTCAAAAGAATATTTCGATTTAATTCAATTTATTTATTTCTAAAAATGAGGAAAAAAATAACGATTACATCGCATAATTTATTGGTCATAACATCAGAAGTAATTTTTTGGGCTCTTCTCGCATCAAATATTAAGTTATATGTCCAATTTATTGGAACCCAATATTTATCATAATCTAAATTTATCGATAATAATTTCTCCTTTTCGTGTTCCAACATGAAACCTGCAATATTCTTTATTATTATTATTACTTTATTATTAATCTTTTATTATTTTATTATTATTTACTATCATTTATCACTAGAAATTATTATTGCTGTTGCAAATACTATTATCGGTATTATTTAAAATTGTTTGATTGTCATTTATTATTGTTAATTGTAATTATTGTAAATTTTTGATCAGAATTAACCTTTTTTAGGATATTTTTTTAAAAATATTTTATATCTTAAGTATACCTTAAATATATACTAAATTTAAGATAATCACAGTGATATTAAATATTAAAAATGTAATAACAATGATAATAATAATAGTACTGATAATTGCAAAAATAACGTTTAAAAATATTAATAATGATAAATATAATGATGAAAACAATGATAAACAATGATAGTTTAGAGCAATGTTAAGATTGCCATTAGGCATAACACTATTTTAGATGTTGTGTTAGCTGCTTCTACTTCTTTTGTTGATAGCAATAGAGTCTTGGAACCTTTTTGTATTAAAACTAAACCGTTATGTGCAATTATGAAATCTTTAATTCTATCTTCGCAGAAATAAACTGAGATTTCTTATTCTGCTTAACTCTCTCTATTGTGAAAAAGTTAACTTAATAATAGCATCATTTTACACCTTATAGAGCAATATATACCTTTAAGAAAAAAAGCGTTAAGTCGATTCCCATTTTTTTAAAATCTCTTAAAAAAGTGTCAAAGAAGCTTTATAATAAATACAAATTAACCAAATTGCCAAGTGACCTCTTTGCATATAAAGAATGTTTAAGAAGTTTCCGTGGTGCCGTTCATACTAACTTCTCAAATAAAGGGGAGCAAATTTTAAATATTAATAGAAATTCTTTCTGGAGCTACATCAAAAGAAAATCTGCAAATCGACTTAACAATTAATTCTGCAACATAATGACAATGTGATCACATCTGGTATTGATAGTATAATATTTAATAAATATACGCAATATTTAATAAATATTGCAAGTATATTTAATAAATATTTTTATGTTGTATTTTTTGAGGATAATGTTCATATTTCTTGTTTTAACGTAAATCGAATTTGTTGTATTTCTCTCGGTGAGGTTGAAATATTCACTACTGGATGTTTATGATACCTTAAATAGACTTAAGATTTAAATAGACCCGTCCATTTTACCTGGTCCCGATAATATTCCGCAAATAATTTATAAAAAATGTGCAGTTTCAGTGAGTCTTCCACTATTTTTAATCAGAGATTATGAAATCTGGCCTTAATCCCAAAATTTGGAAGTTGTCTCATATAATTCCCATTCATTAAAAAAGAAACACCTATGACATCTAATTATAAACCTATTAGCCTAACTTGCATTGGTAGCAAGATACTCGAAAAGTTGATTTCTTAACAACAAATTGGTTACTTATATTGATGCCAATAATTTTATATCCCCTTATTAGCATGGCTTTGTACAAAAAAATCCACTTCTTCACAAATATTGGCAAATCTTTCCAATTGGTCTGCATCAATTGACAATGATAAAACAGTATCTGTTGTGTACCTAGATTTAGCTAAAGCTTTCTTAAAGCTTTTGTTTCCCATAGTAAATTACTGATCACTCTTAATAGTTATGGCATTACAGGGTCCCTTTATAACTGGGTGTCAGATTACATAAAAGATCGACACAAAGCCGTACGCGTCAACAACACTCTTTCGTACACAACACCTGTTAAATCTGGTGTTCCCCAAGGTAGTTGTATTGCACCATTGCTTTTTCTATTATATATATATATATATATATATATGTGATATCTCCAATGTGGTACTAAATTCTACTATTTATCTTTATGCTGATGATTGTGAAATTCATTATTCTCATGGTAGAACAGATACTATATTTCCATTGCAGGATGACCTCAACAGAATAGCTAGCTGGCTATATGACAGGCAAATTACCCTTCCCTTTCAAAAATATAGCGTTCTTCATATCAATTTTAAAGGTTTCGATTTCCCTAATCTTATTATTAATGGCAATATAATCAGTAGAGTCTCACGAATTTCCGATCTTGGAATAATCATGGATGAAAATCTCGATTTCGACTTTCACTGCAGAACCATGGTAAAGAAATCCTCAAAGATACTAAATTTTATTTTTCGTTCGTTTAAGAATAAAACTAAAGAATAAAAAGAATAAAAGAATAAATCTGTCAGTTCATCGAATTAAAAAAGATTTCATTTATATTAATAAGATTCTGTATGGTTATGTTAAATTCGATTGTTCAAAATATTATAATTTTAAGTTTAATTTAAATCCAACAAGAACTAATGGGCTAAAATTACTAAAACCTATGTGTAAAACTAAACTAAAGGACTTATGATTTCTTTATTCGTAATATTAATTACTGGAATAAACTACCGAACGGTATAGCTTGCGCCATTCCTAGCTGCCTTTAAAATAGATAATATAGTATATATATATATATAATATAATATAATAATAATAGATAACTTATGGTATTATTTAAAAAATTCACATCATGCAGAAAGTGTGAAATCTCGATTTTTACCATCCGATTATAGTTATTTCGTATTGTACTATATTATTTTATTTTGCAATTTCCTCTTTATTTCATCTTTAAATTGTATTTTATTATATTTTATTATTATTTTTTTTTGTCATCAATTATTTGTTATTTTACTTGTTGTTATCAATTGTTATCAATACAAGCACATGGCGTTTGCACCCTGCTTGGCTGGTTTTCAATAAATAAATAAATAACCATTATAAAGATCGTAATAATAAAAGGAATAATAGTAAAAGAAAAATAATGATTTTTTTTAAAAAAATGATGACGATAATAAAAATAAATGATAATGATAACGAAAATTAATACCAGCGATAACGAGAGATTCATAGGAAGGAAATCGTTTTCGAACTCGAATACTTATATCACGATAAACAAGAACTTGAGCTAAGCACATATATCGAACCATTGCTCGTCTCATCATTCTTGTAGGCTCATCATCGCCTCTTATATAATTACCAATGAATAAAGCTTGCCTAGAGTTTTTAAGAAAGGAAGGAAAAGAAAGGAAAAAAGACCAAAAAGTTTTTATTAGCCTATAAATTTTTATTATAAAACGCATGAACTTTGACCCCGCGATTAATTTTATTGTATGAAACCATTAAAAAAAAAGGAATTGGAACTAACCTTTCTATATAACCCATATTATTAAAAAAGATAGTCCATCGTTGTACGATTGTACTTACATAAAAACCAAGTATAAATGTTAATGGTATATAATCCAAATGTGCATTTAAATATTTTGCAAAAATTGCAAATTTACTAAAAAATTATAAATATTTCATTTTTTTGCCATTTATTTTCTCTATTTTTTATTTCTTTGCTTTATTTATTTTTTATCTCATTTTTTTCCCTATAAATATTTTTAATGAATAAATATTTTAAATCATAATTCAATAAATAAGTGCTATTAGCGCCCATCATTTCCAGTTAGATTCGCTTCACTGGCGTTTAGTAGAATTAGAAATTTTATCAGTCATTTAGCGTTAGAAGCACAAATGGATAGATAGCCAACATCTGCATTTTTTGATGATTCCTGTGGCTGACAAGCGAATTTTCTCTTATCACTCGATATATCTGAAGTCTGAACTACTACTTTTTTTTTCTAAGAGTCCTCACCATTACTGGTTAAACTCGCCCCACTGGGTTGTCGCATCACTCGAATTTTTGGACAGGTTTACTCCTGCGGGAAATAGAACCTCAGCGTTGGCGCTCCGAACTGAGCAATTCTACCCGCATACCTGAGTCTGAACTACTTACTCACTATTCATTTAGCTAACTTTCGCTAAATCAACAATACAAATATTGTGTTCTCCATCGGGAAAATCAGTTTCATTTTCAGATTATTGAGGAAAAATAAACATTGCTGATTTTTTTCAACAAAAAATGAAACACTTAGCCTCATATGCATTATTTATTTGTGATTTATTTAATTTGTAAAAATATATTTTATATATTAAAAATAATATTTATAAAAGATTAACTCTTTTTGTTGATCATTTAATACAAGATTACTTCGATAGAAAAATGCGATAATATAATAAACAATTGTCCAAGCCAACAATTCTTTAAAAACGTTTTTCCATAAACTCGCTTTCCACCGAAATAATAATTTTACAACGCTTATTATCGACGTACGTGAAATATCTAATTGATAAGATATTGTCATCTTAAAATTGTTTTTTTTTTCAATTCTGAGAAAAAATTGCAAATATTGAAATTCTAACGAAAATTCGGCGATTTCCTAGATGAAAAATTTTATAGAAAATCTATGAAACACTTTTAGAAACGGAAAGTAACAATTAAAATTGTGAGAATTAAAAATAAAATTATAAATACACAATAAATATATACTTTATAATATAATACGTAATGTAATATGTAAAACTATAAAAATATAAAAAATATAATTATATAATAAAATTATAAATACTGTATAATATAAATACTGAAAGTAAATTATAAATACTGAAAGTAACAATTATAAATTATTTTATATAATAAAATTATAAATTATAAATATTATATAATTATAATATTATAAATTAAAATTATATAATAAAATTATAAATACTTAAATTTTTATAATTATATTAATTATATAATTATAAAAATTATATAATAAAATTAAATTATAAATTATAAAATTATAAATATTATAATTATTATATTACAATATTTTTAATATTATAAATATTATATTATAATTATAATTATAATTATAATATTAATTATATTATAATAACTATAAATTATAAAAATTGTAAGTTATAATTAAAAGTGAATAATAACAACAAATAATAATAACATATAATAACATATAATAAATAATAATAATAAAATATATAAATATTACAAAAAGATATGGAAATACATAAAAAATGAAAATATATAGTAAAATAGATTAAATATATGAAATTATTAAAAATGAGATATAAAAAAGTTCGAAAAATTTATAAAATATTTATTTTTATAAATAACACAAAATATTTTAAATAAAAATTGATAAATAAATAAATAAAAATATGCAATATGAGAAATTTTCCTAAATTCTAATAAGCTCTAATTATTTATTCATTTTTGGAGTTTGTTGAGCCGATAAAATCTCACATAATTGCATCCACGCTCAAATATCACCAGTACTACCATAGAGCGTTACCTTCGCTGGTTACAGCAAACTCTCCATCTTCCTAGACAGGAGATGAACGCATATTTCGTTACTTGCTAAACTCTGTGCCGTCAAAAGCGAGAAAATCCAACGAAGACCTGGACTGATACAGCCAGGAAAGATTTTGAACGTATAGTATAGTATGAGCAGCTATATACGGATTTAGAAATGAACATATGGAAAAAGAAATGGCTTCTATTACTCGCAAAGATTGTACAGCTTGGCATTTTGCCTTATTCTTCTAGCCAGTTTAGCCAATAATAATGGAAGCTGTTAGAAGAAGAAAAGGAATTAATAGAACCAAAAAATTTTCAAAAACTCACTAAAAGATTTTATTATTTTCATTTATTACTATTATATTATATTGTATTATAGAAAAATATTACTAAGAATCAGTAAGAATCAGACTGTAAAAAAGCGAAACGCTAGAAACATTATAAATCGTGAAATGGAATGAAACATTTTTCGTATTTCGAAGGACATATCACTTCTAAGAAAACAGTTTTTTATGAAAGTTTGCGTTTTTGACCGACAATTTCAAAAGAAACGTGTTGAAAACCTATAAAATTTAGAAGTTCTTTTAAAATTCGAGTTCGAGCAAAAGTTTCCGAAAATTTTCCAATTTTTGATCGGTTTATATCAAAATTCCGATTAGAATTTTAAAATTTTAATAAAATTCAAATTTTCCTTCCCTTCGTCCTTTCCCTCCCTCCTCCCCCTCTTCTTTTCTCCAAAATTAACTTCCAATTTATAATATAAATCAAAATTATTATCATTAATTATTTTTATTTATCATTATTATTTATCATTAATTACTTATTTATCAATCAAATTTAAATAATAAACTATTATAAATTATCAAACATTTTGATTTGTGATCTATAAAGCATTTTCCAATAAACATTGGTAAAATTTATTCAATATATATAATCTATTCGTCTATATAAAAATTTTAAAAATTTTACATCGTCTAGCGAATAATAAATATTATTTTATGTATAAAAGTTTATTTGCATAAAAGATTTAAAAATTTTAGCAAATAATACTTAAGCACAAAAATAATCTGTTTTTTTTCTTTTAAAAGCAAGAAGAAAAATGTGAAAATAATAACCACTAAAATAATCAGTGACAGTGATAATATAGAAGATAGCTGACAAACAGTTGTATAATTACCAATAAATCAACACCAAAAGCGATAAGCAAAATATTCGCAATAAAATAGATAAAAAATTGGATAAGATAGAAATAAAAAATTGAAATATTTTCGAGCAAAATTAAAACAAATTAAAAATACTTTAAATACTTTGAAAAGCGCTGATAATTTTGAATTGATACGAATATCGAAGTGTTTGTACATCAATACTTCTACTGAATATTAATAATAATAATAAATAATCAGGGATTAAAAATTGATCAATCTGAAGTGATTATTTTAAAAGCTTTTTTCACGATAAAAAGCACAAATAATTCGCTAAAAATTCAGAATAATCATTTCAAATTAATCACAAAAAATTAGCGATTAGAAGAAAATAGCAGTAAAACACCAAGAATTTTCTTTCTTCACCAAACGTTACGCTAATTATTCATCCGCACTTTTTTTACACGAAGATTCGTTTCTCGACCAATTTCCCCCAACTTCAAATTCAATTGAATTATTTGCTAATCTATAAATGCTGTACAAATAAGCAATAAAAAAAGCTAGTTAAAAAGCTAAAAAAGCTAAAAATTTTTATAAAGGTCGAAAAATAAGTAAACATTTTAATTTCGTATACATTTATATGACGTTTAATGAATTTACAAAAAAATGAAAGTTCATTAGAAAAAATTTAAATAATAAAATTGAAATTAAAAAATGGCGAAAAATTAATAAGAAATGTCAATTTAACCTGAAGAATTAAAGAATGTAACAAATTTAGCAAATTTATATTTTTATTGATAAAATAATTAAATTAATTATTAATTTAAAATATATAAAATATAAGAAATCAAATCGTTCGTAATATTTTACGAAAATTTCCCAATTCACCTAAAAAAAATTAAAATTTGTATCACAAATTGTATACCTGGCATTTATTCAGTGAGGGAAGAACCACTTTTTTATTTTTTCATTTCTTTGTTAGAATTATTCAGTCGTAATACTGTTGCCTGATGATTCCCAGCATAATTGTAACGTATTGCAGTACGCTTGGAATGATCTGGATTAAAAAACTGAAAAGAATTCTCGATTTTCTTGGTTATTCTACCCTATTTTAAATTTTTTCTAAAACATGAATTATGGTATTATAAAAAAAACCGTTAAAATCACTATAATTATTTCATATTATTTTATTTCATATACTTTAAATGGATAATAAAATATTTTATATATTTTAAATAGATGTATGTGAAAAATAAATTTTCTAATTTAAAAAATAAAAAAGGCAAAACTAAATATTACCAAATATTCCGCCGAATTCTGCTTCGAAATACGACAAGTTGGCCATATTACATAACGAGCAATATCTTTATATCGAACTCGAATCATCGCCAATGTTTCTTTATTCAATTTTGGAGAACTCATAAACTAAATTTCGATTTACTAATTCGAAAAATTACCAAAATCTAAGGTAATTAAGCTAATTAAAATAAAAATAAGAAAAACAAAAGAAATAAAGTTGACTAAAATAGAAAAAATAACTATTAAAAAAAAGAAAAAAATGATTTTAATTTATATGTCAAATAAATTTTTATTATACAAATTCTTGCATTTTTTAAAAATCAATAATATTTGCGAATTCTATTATAATTGTACTTTTTATAATTTATTTTTTTCAAATATACTTTTGACATAATTTTACGAAAATGCCGATAATTATAATTGCTTTGTAAATTTTTCCAAAAAATTCGAAAATTTAAAAATCAGTCAGTCTATTTTCAAACAAATTTGTATTTATATCTATTCAGATTTATGAAAATATTTTTAAGAAATTCAAAAATTAAAAAAATAAAAACAAAAATAATAAAAAAATTATTATTTGTATATATTAATATGCATCTATAAAAAAAGATTTAATTATAAAATTATAATCGAAAATAAAAATAAAATAACTGCGGGAAAAAAACGAACTTGAAGACTTAAAGTTCGTTTGAATGAGCCGAAACGATTGGTCAATTTTGTTGCAATACTCGCTTTTTCTTCGTCGTCTCCTTCAAAATCATTGTAGTTCTGTGACCGACGATGGCAATTATTTACGAAAAAATTTGAACTCAACGATTTTTTCCGATTCAAATTTGCGATTTGCAAATCACTCGTCGCTGTTTCATTTATTTTTTGATTTTCCATAATTTCATTTAGAAAAATAAATAAATTTTTGAAAAATTTGAAAATTATAATTCCAGAATTTGAATTTGAAAAGAATTAGATGAATTATACTCATTTTAAGCAGAAATATTTGGCTTCACGGCCAAAAGAATGGCCGAATCTCTAATTCAAATTACCTCGATTTCAACTGAAAATTTTCTTCGTAGCACCTTGGCTGTCGTTTAAGATATGCAAGCAAGAATCGCCGAAAAAGACGGCAAAAACGCGAAATCGAATGTCATATAAATCGTCAGGAAAGATAAAAAGAGAAGAAAATTTTATCAGTTGATAAGAAAGCAATAGCATATAACAACAAATTAAGAGAAAGAATGGACGGTCATCACCTTCCACATGAATCAAAAGCCTACTTGAGCCACTTTGACCCACTTGACCTATTGACCTGTTGACCTACTCATGAAATGATACGTCATATACGTCCTAAACCCACCTACCCTTAAATAAATAAAATAAAAGTGTTTAACTGATTTTTATAAAAATACGGATGGTAATACTCGTCCACATTCAGCTTTAAAGAGTGAAAAATTTGGGCGGTTCACATTTGGTGAATTGGCATGGTCCATAGTCGAGAGGACCCTGTAAACTTATATATATCTGTTGGTCAAGTGAACTAGGAAGCTAGGAGGACCTGTCGGTGCATACCTAACGGAATCGTTGATGCGTGGTCTGCGAGTTGCATATTTTTGATGAAATTGCATTCTCAAGATATGTGCATTCGGTGCAAGCCTGGATCCCTATACATTTAATTTTCTAATATTTAAAGCTGAGTTGTGCCACTACGTGGCTTTGCTTCACGTTTCTTCATTGTTTATGATAGTTTTTGTATTGTACATTTAACTCAGTGTGAACATTTAGAAAGTGCCGAATAATTGCACATTTTAGTGCAAGGAAGTGTAGCAGAGTAGAGCAAATTGTGCAAGTACGCAATCGTGCAGACATTTATTTGCTTATGTTGGGAGTACCCTCGGCGCTTCAAATTAATAAATATATAAATTATAAAAATTTTGACAAAAATTGCAGATTTACAATGAAATTCAATAAAATTTTTATTTTTTCTATTTGTTTTAAGATTAGAATTAAAGATTGTTTTGCTTGCGGTGAATTTTTTAGCGATCTTTTCCGCAAATAATTTATCATCTCAAATAAATTTAGAATTTCAAAACTTCTTTTTTTTTTGATGAAATTACCGGATGAAATTTTCGAGAATTTCAATCTCAAATTTCACAAAAAAAATTTCAAAATTTTCCAGAAAATTTCTCGAATTAATTTTTAATATTTATTCATAGAAATAATAGCAACAAATAATAATAGTAATAATGATAATAATAGTAATAATAATAATAGTATTATAATAATAATAATGATAATGATAATGATAGTAATAATAAATAATAATGATAATAATGATAATAATAATGATAATAATAAATCAGTTATTTTAAAGTCATCTTTGCTTAAAATATTCCTTATGTTTTTTATTTCTCTATTTCAATTCCACTATAAGTTTTTTTTTTAAAAGAATGAATTTTACTCGAATTTATTGTCAACGCAATTTTTTATAAATTTTAGCGATTGAAAAAAAGAAATGAATAAAATCTATAAAATCTTTATTTTCAATAAAAAACGGCATATTTAATTCATACATTGTTTGTGGATTTGGCAATTTACAATAAATGGCAGTGATAAAAGCAAAAAAAAAGCAGATTTGCTATTGTTTAGGCACAAAAATGGCCAATAAAATTGCTCGAAATCCAGAATAATGATGAGATTATGCGAAGTAAAAAATCATGGATTCTTCAAGCGAATTTTTCATTTTAAAAAATTCAGTAAAAAATGAGATTTAATAGAATTACTTAATAGATTTAATAGAATAGAATTAATAGAAATAAGCCATATTAAATGCTAAAATAAAAAAAAAATTTCCAAGCACCGTATTTATTTAACTGAGCAGAAAAAATTTATTAAATTAGAATTAAATATAATACAAATAATATCAAATAAGGTGATATTTTAGAGAATAAAAAGGTGCCACCGCAAGGAATACCAGTAATTTAATTAAAAAGCAATATTTTTACAATTATAATATTGTAAAAATCATTTCCTTTAAATTTAAATTTGCTAATTTCTCTCTCTAAAAACGGTTGAATACATTTCATAAATTTCGCTAAATTCCGTTAAACTTCATATTTGACTACTTTTAAGAAAATTTATAATTGCCTTAATAAACTAAAAGATAATAAAAAAAAGCCACAATAAAAATAGGCACTGAAAAACGATTGAACACCGGAATCCATTAAAGTGATCGAAGGTTTCGATCTGAGCTGCGTTCTGGAATTGAACGAATTCGGATTGCATAAACTATGATCGGGCAATTGCCATCGACGGAGTTTATACGGATGACCATCTAAAAATAAATATTCCAATGAGAAATGTTGTTGCCTTTGACTATCGCAGCTGCTCTCGATAGTGGATGATAATTTATTGAGGGAAAAATAGGAAGCTATATTTTATAGATCATGCGTTCAATGATCCATTTAATTAGTAGTTGGTAGTCAATAATATATCTAATTAGACTTGTTTTATTTGCATTGGTATCAAATACTTTCGTGAACGAATAAGAAGCACGGATGAATCCTAGAATCACTGGTATTTTTCAACTATGGCTTTATTCCTGCCAAGGGCGAAGATCGAACAATGGTACTTAAAATAGTCTATGCAGTACACCACCCCAAAATTTCCCCACAGAGCTCATAATGTATCAAATGACTTTTTCAGAATCAAGCGAAATAAGTATACTTACAGTGGTCTGCCTTTCCATATATAAAAACTGTTGTGTTATGTTTTGGCTTTTCCATTTCAAACCTGGAAATTTGGCTTCAATCTTCATTAATTTTATAATTTTATAAAATTATAAATAAATATTATGCAAAAAAAACAAAAAAATTAAAAATTTAATAAAATTTGATTTAATGAAATAAAAATTAACCGGCAATATATCTTTTTTCGTTCTTCCATAACTTTTAAACTGCGATTATTTGATCGTTTCACAACACTAAGAAATATTTTATCATCAGATATGATAAAATCATTAGTCTTTACAGAATTAGGCCCGGAGACACATAAAACTGCATGATGATCGTCCTGTAACATAGAAAACAATTCATGAAAAACTATCGAATTATCCAAGCTCAATTAATGAAGATTAATTTAAGATTAATTAAGATCAATTTCATCTGACTAATTTTATCAATTATCAGTTGTAAAAAACATCGCTTCATGTTAGTATTAAAAAATTTTATCAATTATATAAAAAGGAAGAAAGCTTCATTTCAAAATGATGAAAAAAATTTTTTTTTTCTCAAAACAGAGCGAATCATACCATAGCGAATCCAAATGAGACAATTTTACTATTTTGCATTCCTTCAAGAACCAATGATCGCTTATAACAACGCCATTTCAACGAAAATCGACACGTATCACCAAATATACAAGAATCATCACCGATTTTAAAACAGCTATAAGACTGGCCACAGCCAAGATTGTCTACTGCAAAAATTATTTCTATCAACAAATACAATAGGCATATTCTATACTTAACTAAATTGCTCGCTTCAGGCAAAAATAAGTTTCAAAAATTCAGTGAAAATATATTAAGACTTTCGTTGTGGTACTCGTTTTGACTTATAGTTCAATGAGAGCGATCGTTAAGCGAATACTTTGTCGCTTAAATTTCCCCGACAATTGCCACGAGCGAAAAATATTCGCCAAATATTTTAAAAGTGTTTCCTTCAAAAATTGAAGTTTTAAAGCGAGAGAGTTTTTCAAAATTTAATTTTGAATCTGATCAGTAATTCAACTTATTTTTTACACATATATAATAGGTTAAATTGTGCTGAATTTTTTAGAATAACTATCAAAACTACTAACAATAAATTTGTGATTTATAGGGTGAAAGAAAAGATGAACGAATATGCAATAGGTATTTCGATTGAATAATACTTGCAAGAAATATGATAGGTCCAACGGATATTTTTGGTGGCTTCCATTTTAGTTTTTCATGCCTTCTAGATATGTGATGATCGTTTATTATTGCACTACCTACAATATTATTTCAGCAAGTTTTTTCAGTCAGCATTTTGCAAAAAAATCACATATTATGCAGCGAAAAAAAGGTACCCATGCAATTAGAATTCAATAACTTATAGGGAACATTTCCATGAACCTTTGCGTTCCATGGAGTTTCTTGACCGTTTAACAGTTGAATTGGGTGCATTTTTCAAGTACCAATTGACATTATAGATAAACTGCAAAAAGAAAAAAACTCGAACCATAAATATCACTGCAATTCACCAATTTAAAATAACTTGATGTTGATTGCAAAAAATGCCCCACTTGAATTGTCGGATTAAGCACCGACCTCGCTTGAATATGCGCTCGTTCAAAAGGACCTCCTTCCACTTTTACTAAAAGCTAATTTTAATTAATAAATGCAATTAGTTTTCAAAATTTTTAGAGAATAAATTTTATATTTAATAAATTTATTTTTTAAATTTCTGCATCGCAAATATGCAAATTATGCAGTTTACCAAAATTCAATTAAGCGTTCCGTAATAAAAATTGGAAATTTATATATTTGCATAAAATACAAATTTTTAAATTCATAAATTTTAAAAATAATCTCATTGATAATATCAAATTACGAGTGTAAATCGCATATGATAAGCGATTGCAAGAAAAAAATTTATGATCAACAACAACAACAATTATATAGTATTATAGATTAGAAGCAAAAAAGACTTACCGTACAATATTTGAGCTGAATTTGGATTATATTCAAAAGTTTCTTTATAATTTTGATCAAAAATTCGTATTTTATACGAACTATTTTTTAAAGAGTCGTTGAGAATATTTGTATTGAAAGTGGGAATCATTGTGTCGCAAGCTGGATCTGATGGCGTAAAATCCAAACATTGAATACGAATAAGAATTGACAATAATGCCAAAAATATTTCTCGCATTATATTTTTAGAAATTTCGTAATTTTTAAGTATTGCTTAGCATTTCTAATAAGATTTTTAAGATTTTTTGAATTTCAAATGAATAAAATCAACGAGTACGAATAGAATTCACTTTTTTTTATTTTTAAATAATATGGAAGCTGATGGAAGACGAAATAGTTGAAAAATCGCAACAAATAAAATATTTTTGAATGACATAAAATAAATTTTTTAAGCAAATAAAATTGCAGCAATCCAATGCGATTAGTATTTGCTAACTAACTCACTTATTTCGTTTCGTTACTTCTGAAGAATAGCATAAATTTCAAATAAAACATTCAACAATTAAGATCGTTAGATGGTATCATTTTTCCTGAAATTTTTTTCACTTATTTGTAAGAAAACATGATAGTGAAATCGTAACGTAAATATTTAGCAGCTAAATTTATGGTGTAAAATTCTCAACGAATATTTGTTACATTTTTTTTTTTCATAGAAATTTACAAACTTGTTTTACACAATAAATTATAGTAAAAACAGCTTTTCAAGTTTATAGACTCATAAGATTCCAAGATCAGCTTAGCAGCAAGATGATTATCCGCCAAGGAGAATCAAGAGCTTGGTTTCAAATCCGCTGATCTACCACTCTTTGGCAATATCGCCAAACAAAGGATACTAGAATGGCTCAGTGGGTTGTTACTCAATTCGGAACGCCGATGCTGAGGTTCCACTCCGGTTAGAAGCAAACTTGTCCAAACATCCAGCTGATGCTGGCGACTCACCTGTGTTTCTATCGCCAACCAGATGAGCGAGTCTTCCCAGCAATCTTATGTTCTTAAAAAAAAAGAAGTCATCAAATTTAGATTTTATTTTATTCCTTCAAATAGCCAAATTATTTTGCTTGAATTATTAACCTATGTGGTTTACTATGTCTTTAATAGTTCCAAATTATCTTTTCGATTTGACAAAAAGTTTTTCGAATCGAATTGTAATCAAACGAGATTAAAAAGCAAGTAAACTAACCAATCATCTAAGCATTTTATAACATTCATTTTATGATAAATCATTTACGTATGAAAAGAATTACTGTTCTTTCTAACTTTCAAAACTTTTGCAATAATTAAAACAACCAAACCAACCAAGCGACGAGTGCACATTTCGTGCAATTATTGTATAATCATATAAGAGAAGTAAAAAAATATGAAAGAACGAGAATGGATTAATGTAAAGAATTAAATGAAATAAATAGCATTTTTTATATAAAAATTATCATATCAGTTATCAAATTATCAAAATATTCTTATAAATAAATAATAAAATAAAAAATTTATGAAAATAAAGATAATGAAAGAATGGTTTTAGGCAATGAACTCAAAAATTATTGTAATTCATTAACAATCAATCGACATAATTGCTGAAATAAATGAGCTAATTAGTTTGATTGGTTATTTTAATCAAGCAACATTGTTTATTAAATAATTAAATTTTATTTTATTATTAATTTGCTAGCAAATCGAATAAAAATCCATGGATTAGATGGTCGTCTGTCGTATTTTATTTCAAATAATTAAATAGGAAATTTATTTTTTATTCTTTAAATCTAAATAAATTTAAAATTAAAATCCGTTTATTCATTAAAAAATTCATTCGATTTTTTATTCGATTAATTATGCCAATTTCATATTTCTAAAAGCTTAGTCGCCTTGGTGGATCGAATAACTCACTGAATTGGTTGGTTATTGTTCTCATTTCAAGAGTGCAAGTGTTAGAGTTAGTTTTATTCCTCGCAAGAATCGACCTCTTAAAAATCCAGGTGATGCTGGCAGTTCATCTGTACTTCTATCGCTAACTGAATTCTCGACCTGACTAGAAAAAGCCATTGGATCGAACTAAATAATAGTGAAGCATTTCATTTTACAATCACCTTAGCTACCATGAAAGTATATTAAAGCAATATCGTTTTAATTAAGAGCAAATAGCTATGAAACAAATTGCATCCGACATTTTCAAAGTTTCGAACTTATGAAGAAATAAGGAATAATTGCAATCGTTCCGATATGAAATTGAAATTTTTATAATAAATAAATTTATTTCTATTCTTCTAAGTATCATTCCAATTTCTATTAATTGCATTTGGTTAACTCTTTCATCAGAAAATAATAACTTACTGATTATTGAAAGAGTTGTATAAAAATCGCCGTTAGCCAATTAATTTATGAATTTATTGTAAAAATAATCATAATTTTTAATTTAATAAATAATAAATAATAATAAATAAATAATAATAAATTTAATAAAAAAAAAGATTTAACTTTATAAGAAATTATTATTATTATTCATTGTTATTTTATATTATTTATTATTATTATTACGATATCATTTTTCAATATTCGTTTTATTGAAGAGTGACAGTGAGAATTTACTAATGTGTGGTATGAATCAAGCTTGTGATGGACTTGGCTTCAGTCGAATCCCTTCTTGCTATTTCCGCCTTTTATAGGGCAATAAATGGATTCAATTAAAATGTTTGATATATATTATCCACTCTTTCTTTCTATTCCACCTGGTATCCACTATTATCGATCTTATTTCCGATAACGATGGTCAACGATGGTGAAAAACGGTCATCAATATATACAATATAAATAACAAATGCCATATGCTTTTCCCTTTTTCAATGATTACTTCCGCTAAATTTTACAATCTCATCCATAAATTAACAAATACGATGATTATGGATAATATCTTTTAAAATACTGCTTTGAACTATTACCGATGGTGATAATGAAAATCAATTAATTGCATCGGTTAACCCAGCCAAATGAGAATTAATAGCGTAAAAGACAAAGGAAAATATTTGAATGAATAAATAAATTCAAATTTCATGTGTTCATATGGTATATAATAGTGATATAATGCATAGAATTTAATAAGAAATCATCAAAAACCAATAATAATATTTTTTTGAAATGACACTTTCATGAGGCGAGAAATTGACGAAGCAAACATTTAATGGAGAATTTCAAAATGAAATTAGTTGCAAAAAGTTAAGTGGTAGTGAAAAGAAGTGCGAAGAAGGAGTCAGGAGAGAACTTTGGATCAAGCCGATCGAAAGCTTGATTCCTGCCACTCTTCAGCAGATTCACTTCAGTTAACTGGACATTAAAAATAGTAGTCGACATCCATTCTATATTTTTATTCCCAAGTGATTAAAAACGCGTCACTATAGTCACTATAGTACAGCCAGCCAAATAAGAAATGGTGAAAAAGAAAATCCATTAAGAAAAACTGAAAAAAAAATTGATAAACTAAAAAATTTCAGAAAAAATTTTCATGGATTAAAATTATTTCTCTGAAAAAAAAGTTTGAAAAATAGAAAATTTTGAAAATTTCAAAGAATTGAACAAATATATTGAAAAAATGGCTAATCACATTTCATTTTTATTTTATTGCATATAGCGGATTCCCTTTTAATGAAAGAAAGGATAACTAATTGGCAGAATACTTTTGAAAGTTTCTTCATTTTTTTTTCTAATGAACCATCTCTATTTTGGCTATTCTCACTGGCCTTGGGGATAGAATGGATCAGTGGGTTGTTGCTCAATTTAGAGCGCTGATGCTGAGGTGCGATTCCCTACAGGAGTAAGCCTGTACAAAAATCCGGGTGATGCTGGCGACTGTATTTCTATCGCCAAAGGACTCCCTGGCATATTGTTCAATGTAACAAGCCAATGGAGAGAGTGACCAGTAATGTGAGGACTCTTTAAAAAAAAACTCTCACTGGCTATAAGGATGAGGTCTCTTCGTCATGGAATTAGTAAAAGTGGAGGTGGGTCCCCAGCACTCCTGAATTTCCCTTTGAAGAAACACGGATGGCTAAATAAATCGCTCGACGACTCTATCCTCGAAGTTTTCTAAAAAGTATGATTTTTGAGAAAATTTCCAATTTAAATGCAATGACCTATTTGACAAATTAAATGCATATTTTGAAAAGAAGTAATAAGTAATAAGCTTATGAATAACGAAATGAAATCGCTATAAAAACTTTTATGTATGAATAAATAATAAATGAAAGGCAAATAAATACATTAAAATCTGCAAATAAAACAAAAGCAAATAAATAAAATAGTAAATTGAAATAAAATATATTTTTGAAAAAAATGAAAAGAAAAAATTCGTAAAATTTCTACCACAATTCTATGATGCAATAATTTAGTAAATGTAAACCCAAAAGAAGATTTATTTGGTACTTCCCGCCTACACCAGGTGAATAAATTGAATATCACCGATGAAATCGGTCCCAAATCCAAAAATGACTATATTAGAATGGGTTCAGGAGATTGTCCCCCTCTTGAAGCACTGATGATGAGGTCATACTCTCGACAAGATAAATCTTTCAGAAAATGAAATATCTTTCAGAAATATGGGTGGTGCTGACGATTCACCTGCATTTCTATTACTCTCTAACAAAATTTCACCGACCTACCAAATATAAGCGCTCTTAGAAAAAATATATATGAATATATTAAAATATGATCTATTAATGTTCACTTTATTTTAAATATCATTTGGTGCAATATGGCCGAGCGATTTGCTTCCACAATTTGGAACCAACATCTGACAGGAGTGAGCTTACCAATTCGGATAATATTTGTCTATATTTTTATTTCTATTCAGCAATGATTGTCTGGAAAAATCCTTATTAGCTAACGAGAAAAATAATCAGAAATAATGAAAACCACTAACTAACTAAATAAATTTGGTTCAAAAAAGAATTGTGAAAAGAAAAAGACAAAAACGATGTTCTGAAATATTTAATAAAAAATTCCAATGAATAAAAGATTATTCGAGAAAAAAATGAAAAAAAAATCCTTAAAACTGCAAATTTTGAGACAACGCATCTAAAATTTTTTTGATAAAAATTTACTAATTTATTCATCGAATTTATCGAACAAAATTTGTTGAATTTTCCAATTTTCTTGTTTTATTTTTCAGTGAAATGCAATAAACAAAATTTATAA